TTTAGACCTTCTAGTTCTTTGCTCAAACAGAAAACACTCTGTTCCATGTTGTGATATCTTGGTGGAAGAGTCAATTTTGTGTAACAATCGCAATCATCTCTAAGCCTCATCTCATTTGAACAATATACAGTCCTACAGAATGTTACAAAAGTTTAATCATACAATAAAACGTATACCATGACCCAATCTCCAGCAATCTCTCCATGTATCGGTTCTAGAAAAGACCATCTGCATAGCTGGGTAGGGTGAAAGAACCTAAATTGACCCAGAAGTCAGACAAGAAAGCCCATTTAGCCATCGCAAACACCGACCAAAAGACTCCACGAGCTACAAGACCCCAGTATATCACTCCGCCGTCTGGATGGGGCACGGGGAGCAGCCAAATTGGATGAAGTTAAGCTGCACTAACTGCTTGTTGTGACTCGGGGGAGAAAACTCAATCGTCCTTTCAGCGGCCAACTGCGAGGAGAAAGACCTACATTGTTGCGTGTTTGTGGCAGATTATGAGGCCAATGTCACAACACTGTTTCTGCTCTGGGATGGTGCTGTCGTGAGCAGGACTTTGGGGGAATGCCGATGGGTGCCTAATGAGGTTCGAACCCGGCCCCCCGATCAGGATCGGGTCAGCGGGTACAATGGAGGGTCAGGAGCGGGGTGGGCGAGGTCAGTGAGCAGCATTTCAACGCTCTGTGCCAAGACTGGGTTGTAAAACGAGGGATATTTATGTGATTATGTAATTTGTACTTGAGGAATATATGAGGTTTAAAGGGTTTATATTTTACGCTATTTTCTGATCTGTTATAATGTTGTTTCCCAGAGGTGGGGACTCGAGTTAGAATTGAGTCACTATTTTTAGGTCTTGAGAGTTGACTTGATAAAATAGACTAAAACTTTGCACTTTGGATGTAACTGAAGTACTGTGATGTGGTATCCTTAAATGTACTACAGTAATATACAGAACAATACAGTAAAACCACAGAAACTACAAAGAACATGATCCATTTCAGTGCAGACTACACAACAAAATAACTGTTATTAAGCACTTTTAAATCTGAATTCTTTCTATTCTGACCATAATAATTCACACTAAAATCTTGTCAAGACATTAAAATGAGCATTTCTACAACTCTTATATACTCATATATAAATATATCATGACTTTTAGGTTATGGCACATTTAAATCATAAAAAATGCTCAAATCTAATCTGTATCTGGTACTTTGATTTAAAACAGGGCTGTCAAGCTCAAATTCACCAAGGGCCAAAATTAAAAACTGGGACTAAGTCGTGGGCCAAACTAAATATTTATTGAAAAAGTTCAACAACATCTGCATGTTTTCTCTTCTTTCGAGATACAGTATGTAATGTTAAACCTTTTCTTATTAAAATAAATGTTTAATAATAGTTTTGCTTAAACGTTGAATCCAGAACAAGCAAAATATAAAATAATAACACAATTTTAAATAATGTCTCTATAGCCTATCTGTAGCCGGCGGGCCAGCTCGAATATGTATTTGATATGATGTTGCGGGCCAAATACAATTATATCGTGGGTGAAATTTGACCCCCGGGCCTGAGTTTGACATGTCTGATTTAAATACTTGAAATGACTTGAAGCTCAAAGACGACTTGGACTTGACTTGGACTTATAGGCCAGTGACTGGAGACTCGAACCTGGACTTGCCTGTCTTTGACTTGGGACTTTACTCGGACTTGAGGTCAAAGACTTGAGACTTCCTTGAGACTTGCAAAACAACATCTTCTGTTATTTCCTCATCGCAAACACACCTGGAGTTGTGTTTTGTTTCATTCACACTCACTAGGCTGAGTTCTTCTCTAACAAAACAAAAAACACTCCACCTTTATCCACCTTGTGATGTCATGTGGTAATACAGGAAGTGGTACGCAGTATTTTTAAACTCCGTACACTTTCACTAGAATCACCTGGATCATTTTGGCCCTGGAATTGCCCATTTTTATTGAACTAAAGGTAAAAAAGTTGACTTTGCATGACATCACAAGGTGGGATGAAGCATTTTGAGCTTTGGAGATGCAGACAGACACACGAGAATGAAAAAAAAAAAAAAACTCCAGGTATTTTTTTTAATGAGGTAATGACATTTTAACATGATTTAAAGCTCATAAGAGTGCGTTTTTGTTTAATATACTCGTAGGACTTAATGCTGTACTGTAGATCATTACAGACAAAACAACCACATCTCCGTACACAGTTTACCTTTAAGATGCATTATTGTCATTCCGTACTGCCATTGTGTCCTTGAACAAGACACGTTGTCCACCTTACCTGTACGAACAGTGGTTGTAAAGCTTTCGCCACAGAAAGTCAGTCTGTCCGTGTCAGTCCACCTCTGCGACGAAACCTCGAGAAGTGAAGCCTTGTCAGTTTTAATATTAAGACATTTCAACACATATTGTTACAAGTTATATATTTAAACTTTCCTGGAATCCTTTCACGACCTCGCCGAGCAGCGCAGAGCCGGTGGCGATTGCTGTTGCCTGAGATCTGAATGTAGTCCCAGACCGACCGTGCTAAAACCTGCTTCAGCGTGCTAATGATTGTTGTGCTCCCATAACTCGTGACTCATCAGGTCTGCCCGTGTTTACAGGTGGTTGAGGGGAGGCTCCGGGCCGCTCTCTGGGCCCTGACTCTGGGGTAAAGCAGGTCTGGACTGCCTGCTGTGGGCCTTGGGCGAGGCTCTGTCTGGTCTGAGGCTTTGGGAGAAAACTGTAATGACGGTGATTATGCCAGGATGATGTTAAGTAAGCAGATTTAAATCGCAAGGTATTAGCTAAAAATGCATTGAAGACTACCTAATGGGATTTCAGAGACGCATCACTCATCTGCACGTTCATTATTTCGATTTCTTCGTCTATTTCTGCGTCGCGTTGAAAGCTGAACATGACTTTTTTGTCTTTTGGGTAATCCCTTTTATTAAGAGGGAGTTGCCACAACAAGCAGAGCGTTGGCAGTCAGATGCCCTTCTTGTCGCAACCAGTCAGATCAATTGTGAATGAAGTAGGTCAGTGGAGTGCTTTGCTCAAGGATGCAACAATAGTAGTGCGTTAGGTTTGAAGTGGTTACCTTTTGAGTTAGAAGGTGAAGTTTAATCTTTTAATATTAAAGGTCTTGTATTGGCAGTTTTCAGAGTCTGTAATGTGATTGTGTCATACTTTCAGATCGAGAAGCACGCAGTTTGTCAGTCTCAATACCCAATACAGTTACAATAAATCTTGGTTCTTTTAATCATCACATTAGACATTGTTTATTTAAATATACTTTATTTGTTAATTCATTTCAGTTTCCATTCATCATCTTACTTACCTACAGCTCCACATGGTCCAGACAAAAGACGGGGTGTGTCTCATGTCGGACATTTTTAAAACCTTGGAGGAGATCGTGGGCTGGACCATGTGGAGAGGAGAACTGCTTTGAGTTTAGTTTTATTGTTTTTGTGTATTTAGTTTTATAGTTTATTTTCAACACACTGTTTAGTTTATGTTAAGCATTTAGATTTTAAAAGGGGAAATCCTCGCTTTGCTTTGAAGAGTGACCTGGAATTGATATTCACCTGCTGGGCAGGGTATAAAAGGAGAGAGACTTCTGTGCAGATTGTTTGGTGCTTTTGATTCGAGTCGCTTGTTTTCTGTTTTTTGGACTGTATTTTACACTACACCAGAAGTCTGTTTTAAAATAAATTTTGTCTGGTCAAAGTCACTGCCTCCACCTTTGACCACTTCAGGCCAGCTTCCCCACAACTAGACCCAAGTAAACTGCAAAAATCTGCAGTTGAACAATACTGATTTTCGCTGCCTCCAACTCTGTTCAATAATATTGACCTATAGACGGGTGTGATGTCGTCTGAAACCCAACAATTCCATTGTTTCCTAAAAACTGGGTCGTGATCCTCAGGTGGGCTGCAAGAGATTTTTTTTTTGGGGGGGGGTCACCTGATATGCACCTGATATTTGTGTTGCGCTCTCCCCTTGCACCTTGGACTGGAACGCACTACAAATACACAAACAGGCCCACCTATCTCATTTTGATGTTTTGTATAATTTTTTGTCTTTTAGTAATTACTTTGACTATATTGCTGGTTTAATTGAAAGTTGAAAAGAAAAAGAAATGGGCTACATTTAATGTCCAAATAAGCGACGTATGGATCCTTTTATTGCCGCTTCAAATACTGTTTTTCATTGTATAAAAACTTCAGTAATAGTAATTGTTCAGAGAGACACAAATGGTCAAATCCACCTTTATTTTGTGATTTATGAATAATGTCTTTTGACTTAGGTCCTGAAGGTTTGTGACTTTTAAAATATGGGTCCCCAGGAATAAAGTTTGGGAAACACTGCTGTATTTGATGTATTTGAGCAAAATGTGTCTTGCCCCTGTACAGCAGCTCTAGATTTCAAAATAAGTCCACTATGTACTGTCTGCATTAGAAAGCATTTTATTGTCAAGTCATCAGGAAGTATGTGTTAGCATGCCAGTTGCTGTCAGTGTTTCAAGTCTGCTTTCAACTGTTTGAAATTCACAAATTCTGTTTTTCACATATTTAATTGCAGCTAAGAGTTGAAAAATCTTTATCTAAAATTTGATCAGTTGCGTAGTCCTACTTTTAAGACATAATAATACTTCTTTAATGGATTATATTGTCATTTTAATTTTTAATTTTTTTATTTTTTCCTCATGTATGGCCTCATTGTTTTGCGTGTAAATTCCAAACCAAAAAACTCCCATGAAACCTGAGAATTCATTAGTCTGGCTTGTCTTCACTCTCCAGCCTCTTCCACTGTTTGACTGTAATTGGAATTTTGATCGTGCGGTGTAAACACTGGGAGGCGTTCCTGTGAATATTCATGGGGCGGCGCGGGCGGGGATGGCGGGCGGGGATAGCGGCGGCGGCGGCCGCGGCGGCGGTCTGGGGGTGCTCTTGTACGTGACCCTTTCTCACTGACTCATGTTCTCGTCCCAACAGCGCCCTCTCAGGTCAGCGAGGTCATCAAGGAGAAGATCCAAGAGCGCAGTGTGCAGCTGTCCTGGCAGCAACCGCACCACCCCAACGGAGTCATCAAGGAGTACGAGATCAAGTACTACGAGAAGGTACTGCATTATTTATGTTGATGTACGCCGTGTACTAGTGGTACTACTACACAGTACACAGTAATACACAATTGGACACCTTTTCATGTAATAAAGTAAAATTAGTATTGAAAAAAGCAGCTCTTAGGGTCAAAACAAGTCTTCATCTAATTATTGTCTGAGAAACTAGAAGTGAGCTATTAGCATGCTAGTTGGATTTGGCAGTACTGTGTTTTGTGAGCTTAAAAATGCTTAGAAAACATAAAATGCAGGAAGTGAGCTGTTAGTATGCTAGTTGGTTTTAGTAGAATTGTGTTTTGTGAGAATGCTCGGAAAACACAAAATGCAGGAAGTGAGCTGTTTGCATACTAGTTGTTTTAAGCAGTACTGTGTTTTGTGAGCTTACAAATGCTTAGAAAACACAAAATGCAGGAAGTGTGCTGTCAGCATACTAGTTGGTTTTAGCAGTACTGTGTTTTGTGAGCTTAAAAATGATGCAGGAAGTGAGCTGTTAGCATGCTAGTTAGTGTCAGGAATACTGTGTTTTCTGTGGACTACATAATTCCATAGTGGCCAGTAAAGGTGGATGAACTTTAAAAACAAACCAAAAATAATATTTGCACCTAATGATGTCACAAGTTGGATCCGAAAATACAAAGAAAGACTGACAAACATATTTCTACTCACCAACAGTGACAAATATGTTCTGTCTTGCGGATTTTTTTGGTAATTTTGTAAAAGAATAGCGCTGCAATTGGAGCAAACCAACAATTTTCCAATCATTGCACTCCAAACTCAAAATTTGAAGATTTCTAAAAGATTACGGTAAAATTGTCTGTAATTGTACACTGCATCTTCATCACAAGCTGCAGTCAAAAACATAACTCAAAAGGATAATAACACCTCTTCATGAATTGACCTTGAGAAGTTTAAAATGACCTCTGCGTGAATTGCTTCGCTCTTCTGGACATAAGCTCCTGCTCACTTCTAAATGCTCCAAACTCAAACCTGACCACTTCGTATTGCCCAAGTCTGAGTGTTATTTGCGGCAAGACGTCGCTGATTCCAACATTTCGGTCTGTTTTTCTCTCGATTTTCTCAAAACCACTTTTTTCCATTTCAAGATGCCAATTCTTCTTCATTTGCTATTCTGAGTGCGCGCTGCAAAGTGGACTCCATGCAATCCTGCAAGTACCTACTTTGTCTCATAATTGCAATAATGAATGAGAGGCTCATAAGATTTTAATCAGTGCTTCTCTACCACCCCCACACATGTTAGCATACACGCCGACCTCCTCCATCTCGCAGCCTGTTAGCGTACCACTATTTTACCGTGTTTCTGTGCATATCACTGCATTTACATCGGGCTTTTAAAGTACACGTGTCAAAGGAAGCTACATCTTTTATTTATATTTTTTTAAGTCGTGAAGTTCATAATTTTACTCCTCATTTCGGTCTTAAAATGTTCATATTGACCCACTTTACATGATCCTGGTGTTTTTATTTCACTATTAGTCATAAATAAATTCCTGTTCCTAAAATCCTAACAGGAACTCTGCTCCAAATTGGCTTCTGTAACTACTAGCCTCATGAGCTTCATTTGACTGGAGCAGAACGCTATGGGAGATGTCATTCTCACTTAGTCCAATTTTTTATACCAGGGGTGTCAAACTCAAATTCACCGAGGGCCAATAAATAATAATTTAAAAAAAGAAAAAAAGTTAAATGGATGTTTAAACTACCTGAAAAGTGCGTTCATTGCGCCTACATTATTGCTGGATGTAATTTACTGGATTGTTATGACATAGGTAGAGGTATTCCTTTTTAAAACTCACTGCTGCTTTCTATATTTTTGTACTTTTCTTTTCAGCTTTTTTTCCCCATAAACTTCCACTTGACTTATATAAAACCATGATGCATATTTACCACAGATACTAGTCATAAATAAATTCCTGTTCCTAAAATCCTAAAAGGAACTCTGCTCCAAATTGGCTTCTATAACTACTAGCCTCATGAGCTTCATTTGACTGGAGCCGAACGCTATGGGAGACGTTACACTCGCTTAGTCCAATTCTTTATAGCAGGGGTGTCAATCTCAAATTCACCGAGGGCCAAAATTAATTAAGTCTTGGGCCAAACTAAATATTTACTGAAAAATTTCAGCAACATCTGCATGTTTTCTCTTCTTTCGAGATATGTAATGTTGAACCTTTTCTTATTAAAATAAATGTTTAATAATAGTTTCGCTTAAACATTGAATCCAGAACAAGCATAATATAAAATAATAACTAAATTTTAAATAAATAAGCTCTGTATAGTCTATCTGTAGCCAGCGGCTCTAATAGGTGTTTGATATGATCTCACAGGCCAAATATAATTACATCCCACGCCAAATTTGTCCCCCAGGCCTGAGTCTAACATGTCTGCTTTATACAGTCTATTGATTAAACAAATTAAATAATAATAATTAAAAGAAAAAAGAAAAAGTTAAATGGATGTTTAAACTACCTGAAAAGTGCGTTCATTGCGCCTACATTGTTGCTGGATTGTTATGACATAGGTAGAGGTATTCCTTTTTAAAACTCACCACTGCTTTCTATATTTTTGTACTTTTCTTTTCTGCTTTTTTTTCCCCCACAAACTGCCACTTGACTTATATAAAATCATGATACATATTTACCACAGATACTCCTCCACTAAACAAAGTAACAATTAGCCATGAAAACCTGGCGTGGGCATTTTAAATGTCCGATGGGCAGCCGGTGGACGAGGGCACAGAGCCGTGGTGCCCGCTCCGCCTGCGGGACAGCTCTCCACATCAGCTCCTCTGTCACGTCTTGTGGCTCTGCTCTGGCCAGCTGGAAAAGTGGAAAATTGGAAACAACGATGACTTCACTAACAATCCCTGGCATTCCATTTTGGCCCTGGCTGCCCGGAGTGCTCAGTCTACAACTAAGTACACAATGTAGCCTATATATGCACGCCGAATCCCAATGAGTCCTGTAATCATGAGGTGCTGCCGGTTTGAAAGTTGTGAGTGGAGAGAAGACGGGCTACATATGAAATAGTAGTACTTCTTATGTTTGGTTTTGTGAGTGTATTTTTATATTCTCAAATCAAGTGACCCAGGGACTAGGGTTATTTAAAAAAAAAGTACTCAGATACCAATTAATACAAAAGTGAGTGTTAAAACTAGATACTCATTTAAAGTATGAATGCCAAAAAACAATGACAATCTGCCATGTTTAAAGCAGCAGTGCGAAATGCCGATAGAGACGCATTCGCCTAAATAATGTATTATATTCATCTTAAATCTTTATTGGTTAAACGTTAGGCTGACAATTCTCTGGCGTGTGACAATACAATCCCGAGCTCTATAAACCTTTCCTGAATTGTTTTAGAATGGTCTGTAAAAATATTATTGCGTGAGTTGAAAATTTTATTTAACTGCACAATATTCTCATAAAATTCTCATAGTGGTTTTGAATTGGGTACTGGGTCTATTGTGTTGTGAAATTTTAGCATCATGAGAACACCAAGAGTTGAAAGTATGTTTAAATGTCATGCCAGTGTCAGTGATAAATAATGTATATTTAGTAACATTAACATCTTTTGACGGTACATGTATGTGTGTTGAATTAAATGTACAAATGTAGAATGTAGAAATGTCTGAAATGTGTGCGCTCTCTGCACCTGCCTCCGAGCCTCACCTATAAATAGTTAATGCTTCAAATCAAGGAAAAATGAGGTAAAACAAGTGTCTGTATTTCCATGACCACTGTTTAAAGACTATAACACACAGCATAAATATTAAAATGACTCTTGAATACAGTTTTATCGGGGGCCTTTGTGTGCGCTGCAGTAAAGTGCTTAAATCCATTCAGTGCTTTCACAAAGTGCAGGTAATTACGCCCTGTGAAGTCTATCTGCAGTATTTTAGCAGCCCAGCCATTAAGATAACCACACTTGAATGGGACTCAATTATGAGCAGGATTCTCACATTACGCTAGTGGCTACTGCTGGAGCTCTGTGCTGAAAGTCTGTGCTTTCTTCTCCCACAGGACCACAAGGAGAAGGTCTCCACGGTGCGCTCACGCTCCACCACCGCCACAGTCAACAACCTGAAGCCCAGCACGGCCTATGTCTTCCAGATCCGAGCGTTCACAGACGCGGGATTTGGAACCTACGGGCCCCGAGTGGAGATCACGACCAAAATGGAGAACCCAGGTACAGCCGCTCTCACCAGTACACATGAGTTTGACTGTTTCATGAGTATAAGTTTATTGTGCTACAAATTAGGCCATCTGAGTGTGGAAAAAGTGATCAGACTGGGGCATGATTGAAATTCAGATGGTTTAGAAGTTATTTATATATTAAAGTTAGCCTAATAAACAGTACAAACGGATAAATAGGTACAGTTATCCATCCATTATTTAAAAACATATTTAAAATTATGTTAAAGCAACAGAATGTAATTATTGACATTCTTACTCGTGCCTCCTCCTACTTCTTTCCATAGTTTTGGTTTTCCCTATGGCTAAAATATTCCACAATATTCATTAAACCATATCTATCTCTATGGGCGCCACCTCCTGAAAGTTACATACTGTACCTTTAAATGCACATGCTTGATTTAAAAATGTTGCTCTGTCATATCATCACTGAAAAAAACAAAACACTGAATTGTTTGGGTGATGAAATCTGTCTCAAAGTAAATGCTAGTTTGTTTCTTACATTTAAAATAGTCCGTCTTAACGCGTCTTAATCCAGTATTAAAACACCTCTAAAATTGAAACATGTGCTGGAATTTCCAAACATAATTTAGAGCAGTGATTCCAATTGTCTGACTTTAATTACTTTCTTTTTGTCACGTGGATCCTTTCATAATCTTCATGTTAAAATCATATTATTTTTGAACAGAGATAGAATCAGAGTAATGAGCGCAGGAGCAGGAGGAGGCGGCTGTTCTGAGCCGCCTGATATCATAGCATCATGTTTAGTCCAGCGTGGATAAGCTGGGCTGGGCTAATGCTCTCCGTAATGGCCCAGGGAAATGAGGGCTTTGGACACAGTAAACACAAAATACTTGAGTGTACGCCGAGAGATGAGGAGAGGGAATGGGCTGTGTCAGGGAGATGGGCATTGTCTTGTGTCATAGTAATTGTTTTCATCGATATTTCTACTTATTAGAAAAAGAAACATGTCAAGTCAGGCTGGATTGGTTTAACTCTTGACTGAAATGTGGCTTTTCCAAACTAAGGAAGTTATGGTTAGGATAATAGCCCCTCGAAAAAGGTTTTAGTAATTATTTGTTTTATTTTATTTCATATTTAACATACGTACACCATTGCAAAAACTGTGCACCAAATGGCATTACTTTTTGGTTTTCAGCGGTAAACATTTTTGTTGATGAAACAAATTCCTAGCATTAATGAAAATGTAATTAAATTGTTAAAACAGGTCTTTGATTTTTTTTATTTATTTTTTTTTTACTTTCAGAATCAGACCAATGCGAAATTACAGCTTTTTTTTTTTACAGCAAATTATTATTATTTTTTAATTGTTTTGTTGACATTTTTTCTTCTTCTTTTCTTCTTCTTTTTTTTTTTTCTTCTTTTTTTTTATTATAAACCTCAAACTCAACCAAATTTCACATACGAGTGAATTCAAAACAGCATTCACAATTGGATAATTTCACTATATTTATTCTAGAGATCAATTAATATATGTTTTTTCATGGCAGATACCGATACCGATTGTTTAGAATTTGTAGAAACCGATGACTGATAAGCTCCACCGATATTTTCAAGCCGATTTTGATTATTTTCCTTACATTCTACGTACATCGCCAGACACTAAAAGCTTCCACAAAGCCCTTATATTTTACCACAAACCTATAAGTGTTCAAATAAGGCTTTGCGTGTATTCTTGAGGCAACAGGTCAGTCAAAACTAAATATCGGCATGTGCTGGAGATTTCGGGTGAATACCGCGCCTATCTCTAATATACTCCCCACCTCTGAATGCAGATCAGTTCTCCTCTGGATCTCCCACACACACACATCCCCCTCGTATTAGCCCCGGCTTTTGTCAGCGTTCCTCTGCGTGTGATGGGGACTTGAGAGTGCGCTTTCCCCAGTCCAACCTGAATGTGTCTTTGTTCAGATGAAGGGCAGTGCAGCGCCGTCTGGGACTATTAAGCCCACTTTCTGAGAGCGAGCCGAGAGCCGAGGACGACGCAAAAATAGCACCTTCTCCCTCCTCCCTCCCCTCACACCGCCCGCACCCCCAGCGTCGGCGAGGAGCGGGTGATCAATCTGAACAGGCTCATTAGGCCCACTTTAGCGCAAATGAAAAGTCCGTAGGTTACAAAAAGACGCCGGGGTTTGTATATTTGTGACATTGCGTGTGTTTGGATAACTTGTGTGCATTGTAATAAATTAGGGTTGCAACAGATTTTTTTTTTTTTTTTTTTGTAGTTGACTGTCAGTAATTATGTTTTGAACTGATGCACTAGTCAAGATATTTTATTATTTATTGATCCACAAGGGAAATATGAAATACTCACACATGACAATATATTATAATCACAAAAAGCCAAAATATAAATGGTATTTCTTATGGGTGTAACGGCACAAAAGAATTCCAGTTCGGTTTGTACCTCAGTTTTGAGGTCACGGTTCGGTTCATTTTCGGTACAGTATGGGGAACAAACAAAAAAAATACTTGCTTGCTGTTTATTTGTGTGTTTATTAAACCAACAATTTGTTTTAACATTATACAAATGGGAAATTAAATTAATACAAAGTGCTGCTTGGTAATACTAATAAGTTAATAAGTAATAAAATACTCTCAAATAAGCAACAACTGTTCCCTCGTGAATATTAAAGAGCTGATCCTCCCATGTAGTGGCAGAACACAAACAGATTACACAAACTCACTAGTGCACTGTCCTGCACCAAACCGAACGTCCCATATCGAAATGGTTTGGCACTAGGGGTGTATCAATATCCAAGTCTCACCACACGATATCGTCACGGTACGAACCTCACTGTAACAATATCGTGGGAAAGCTCATGATACGGTGGGGATGTCACAATATCCAAATCTCACCGTACGATATTTATTGTGATATTTTGTGGAGGCTAACAAAACTGTAAATATGCTACTTTTTCCTCTTAAAATGCCTTGACAAGATTTAATTCAAAGAACTAAGACTTAAAAGTGCTTAGAACTGTTATTTCTTCTTGTAGTCTACACTGAAATGGAGCAAAGGATCATGGTCTATGTAGTTCCCTATATCTTTTTTTAGCTATTGCTGCACCATAACTCTTAATTTAAGCAAAGATACTTGTAATTCGATATATTGTGATGGACTTTGACGATACGATGTCACGATATTTTGGCTATTGTTACATCCCTATTCGGCATGAATACCTGTAAGTAACAAAGCAAAGAGACTGGTGTTATATAAGGCATAATTATATAAATGTACAGGTAAAAATAAAATATAGCAATATAGTGATAAAATGTATTTATTCATGCATTTACTCCATACACAGTAGTGGTAAGATATATTGTTGTAGTCACAGATGCCCTGGGGTAAACTGCTGTCAATCTGCTTTTTTGACCCCTCTGACCATCATCATTCACTCACACCTCACATTCACACTGGTCATGGTGAGTGAGGTGTCTTCCCTAAGGGTAATGACAAAACTTGGTCCGAGCAGGAATCAATCCACTTTTTGTTTCTCTTTTGAAGTAGTAGTTTATGTGTGTCACCTCATTCAAACACGCCTACAGTCTGTTGTGAAGTCCATGTTGCTGTGTACTGACCGCTCTGTGCTGTGTGTGTCCTCAGCCACCGTGGTGTCCAGCGAGCAGAACCCGGTGATCATCATCGCCGTGGTGGCCGTGGCGGGGACCATCATCCTGGTCTTCATGGTGTTTGGCTTCATCATCGGGAGAAGGTACGCTCTCGCCGGCCCCATAGACTCTCCGCTCCTGTGAGTCTGCGCTTCAGATTTCAGCACATTTCTGTCACTGGACCGTGCACTCCAACGCACCATCGTCTGTCTGTGCTCGTGCCGACGTCATCGTGTCACCCCATCCATCCAAACACACGTGAAATCATGACCCGAGTTCCTCTCTGTAACGTGATTGTGTTGTCTTCATGTTTATCACAGAAGCCACTGTCTCTGTCACATCACATCTGAACTCATCTTTTTGTGCGGACTGGGCCATGTGTGTCTGAATACTAATTCTGAGTAGCCGTATTCCCGTACAGTTACTTTTTTATTTGGTAGTATTACTTTTCTAAAATCGAAGGAATACACCGCTGCACTTGATCACACAATTTTGGATTTAAACTTCACATAACTAGTGATAAAAATATGATAAGAGCTGTTTTTTTTTTTCTAATTAGTAATAGGAAATCCATAATAAGCAGTGAACATGAAGCCGTTTTTATTTGTATTTTGCATTTTTACATAATTCAAATGCAACTCCATGTGAAAGTATTCGGTAGTATTCATAATACAGTACCCTGATTGCTTTACATAATACATTTTATTGCAGGTATTACAATTATTATGAAAGGTGTCTCAAGGCTTACAGTGTATCATTCACTGAGTCGATCTTTTATTTATTTTTCCAAGAAGCTAATACGCTTTAAAGAAACTAACAACCCAATAGAACGTAATTGTCGTCAATAAAATAAAATGCTTACTTAAACTTAAACATATAATGGAAATATTTATAGGACTTTGTTTCACTTTCAGATCATTATTTGTAAATTATATGCTTAGCTGACTGGGCTGTAAACACTATTAGAAAATCTACTAGTATTATAATGTTATTCACTGTTTACTAATTACTGCTTTATTCTGGAGTTATTCAGTTAAAGCAAAGTGGCTTAGTGACAGTGCTGATCATTAACTAAGACAATACAAATATAACACAGTTTCAAGTTCACTCAATCTTCTTACAAATCTCAAACTAATTCAACACTTTACGCCTTGATCAAAGATTTCAAAAAGTGTTAGAATTAGAAACTGGTCCCATCAACCTGCCAATTGGAGAACTAAATCTAAACTAATCTAACTAAAGAATAATGGAAAAAAATATATACAAAATTCCAAACCAGTTTAGTCTGGAATAGGGATGCACTGATCCAGCTTTTTCAGTTCCGATACCGATTTCAATACTACAGCTTTAAATATCCGCCACTACCCAATATTAACCAATACCTGAGACTAAAAATAACATTTATTTCCTTTAAAGAACAAAAAAACTGCCTCAAATTTAATATTTAGCTGTTATTTATCCCTAAAGTAATGACAGAACATTGTATAAACAAAAGTTCAAACATTATGAGACTTTCAGGGCCAACTATGACTACAACTATAAAAAGTCTTATTACAACCAACCAAGATATTGGCTGAATCGATATCTGCAATCTGATATCCGATATATCTAGCATTTATTTCAGTATCAGCATCAATATCCTACACCAGCATCGGATCAGTACATCCCTAGTCGCTGTTCCACGTGGACTGTTTTAGAGGTTAGGGCGCAGAGTCGTCCTTGTTCGGGTTTTGCGAGGGATCAGCGAGACCAGTTGAAATCCATGTCAGCGAATGCGTGTCCATCATCTGGGGATTACCCAAGATTCCATGTAATAACCCCCACACCCCCACACACCCCCTCAACCAGCTCCGGACAACTTCCACCACATTAAATCTCACTATGGCTGCCCCCCGCATGACCTCTTTGATATGCAGACGTGTACTTGTACTCGCAGGCGGATGAGCGGGTGTATGTATTTGTCATGTGCACATTTGACTGGCATTGCAAGTGTGTTTTGGGGACTTGATCCGGTGAGCTGATGGTTGCGTGTGACTCTTTCTGTGCAGACACTGTGGATACAGTAAAGCCGACCAGGAGGGGGACGAAGAGCTCTACTTCCAGTGTAAGTCTCGTTGGGGTCCGTGGGCTCATTCAGATTCTAAAACATGATGTACAAATGATAACAATGTACGTAATATGTGTGTACACTGGGAATGACATAAGAAGACAAAGGAGAAATTCAGTTTGGCGATTGGGCAAAAGTTTATTTGGTTGAATACGTTTTGCAGCTCGTCCAAGCAGCTTCTTCAGTTCTGGTCAGAATACTGGTGGACACTGCCTTATATCTGCCTGCAGGGAGGAGCTAAATAATGCAGATATAAGGAAGTAAACACCAGCATTCTGACCAGAACTGAAGAAGCAGCTTGGATGAGCTGTGAAACGTCTAAATAAACTTTTGTCCAGTCAACAAATTGAACTCCTCCTTTGCCATGGATTCTACCTGGACAACTGAGGGATTTTTCACATATGAAGACATAAACATGTATATTTTTGTATGAATCTTGAGCGATTATGATACTGTGGGGAAAAAGTTTCTAAATGCCCTTATTCAAAAGACAAAAATTACAATATTACATTAGACTACAAATTATTTAAAAATAACTTAACTTCAGCATTAATTCAGAAAGCTGTTCAGCAAGAAAAGAAGTCTAAGAGGTATGAGATTCAAACTAGTTAAATTAAATTTTCATTTCAATAGGACACTTAGATCTTCATAACGTCTGTAATAATAACATCATTTAAAAATGATTATGCATTATGAACTTGAATAATTTAACTCCCCTTCTGGGGCTAAAACATAACTACAATCTTTCCACCACTACTATCTTTGATTTGCCTGGAATATTCCACAGTATGGCATTTTAAGGGCCTGTATGTATCTTTTAATGTTGTTAAGTCATCAAAAACATACCCAGAGTTGTGTTTTGTTAAAGTCGCACATGTTTGAGTAAACCTTTATTAAGTTGTCTACATCTCCAAAGCTCAAAACGCACAGTTCCACCTTGTGATGTCATAAAGTGGCAGTTTTAAAGTTAACAGCTCCTTTTAACTTTTGTTCAGTAGAGATTGACAGTTCCAGGGCTGAAATCATCCAAATGATTCTAGTTTAAAAACACAGTGGAAAGCTTCCTGTATCACCACATCACATTATTATTTTTAATTATTTTTATTTTATATTATTAATTACGCAGGGTTTGTCTGTTAAACATGTGTGAATGAAACAAAACATGACTCCAGGTATGTTTGTGATGAGAAAACAACATTATGACAGGTTAGAAAATAGCGTCCTTTTCATTTATTATTAAGTGGTTGCTAGAGGAAAACCTGAAAAACATGTAGATATATACATTTATTGCCATAATGTTTACAGGAGACAAGCAGGTAGCAGGCCCCCAATTAATAAAGTTACCTCGTGCATCTTTAACTCTTGTATGTATGAGGTGAAGTTCTACTGAAATATCGTCAACATCATTATAACTACAAATAGAACAGGATGTCTAAACTCTAAAGTCACTTGTGATTGGCTGCAGCGTCTCAAATGAAGAAATCACACGAGCACAAACGCAGGTCTGTGACAGCTGTCTGAAACTCACCTGCCTCGACCTGAAAGGAGCAGATCCTCGTCTCAAAAATGCACAGGGTTCGACATTTACACAGCGGTTCGGTTTGTGGAGAGGTGCCTAATGATGCCCCCGGAGACCCAGGCACCTCTCGCTTTTAGCCCATAGACGGGTTGCCTCCAGCGCTGCAGGCTATCCGCTAAATCCTCCGTGCGCACAGGTCACAGGTGGAGCGGGTACGGAGCTAAGTGACTGACAAACCAGAGAATATAAACATGCTAATAAGACGCAATGTGATACCAATATGTGTTACGTAATAGAGATGAGACCAGATGTAAACAAAACACGCGATTGGGGAGAGAAAGATTAGATTTTCTGACATAAAAATAAACAGCGGTGTAAGATAATGAAGTACAAAAGTAAAAGTACAATTCTTAAGTACAAATTATTAGGATTAAAGTATTTTACAGTGGATACTTTTTACTTTTACTTCATTACATTTGAGAGCAAGTATCTGTACTTTCTACTCCACTACATTTTAAAGCTGGACTGAAAAGTAAAATGTACTTTTGTTTACAGTTTGAGACCTGCTGAAGTGGCTGAGACTTAAAAAAAAAAAAAAATAAATAAAAATTAGCACATTTAAGTTGAGTTCCTGTTCCAACTTTGAGCAAAGCAAATACATGAAAGCACAAAAATAATGCAGTTTTTGTGTTTTTGTGTATTTGGTTTGCTCAAAGTACAGAACGGAATACAAAAAATTCTTTCTCAAAATCACTACATTTCATCTTTTAATTGTAATTTAAATCTCTGCAAAATACTTATACTATACTATTTTCTCTTTATGTTCATTCTTAAACAGGTACTTTTAATAATTTTACTTAGATTTTTTCATGTGATACTTTTAATTTACTAACGTTTTGCCCTTTTATCTGTACTTTTACTTAAGTAACAAAATTGAGTACTTCATCCACCACTGAAAATAAACATAAAAACAAATTGTCAGTTTATTTTATATCATAGTTGCCGTTTTAGCACCGTCTAGATGTACCTCGTAAGCACACCATTAAAGAAGAAAAATTCCCCAAGATAATTTTCTACTTGTATGCTAAAATCTCGCTGCAATTTATTGTTCGTCTAATTTCAGGATTGCAACAATAAAATACAAGGACAGCCGTAGAATACCAATGATAGAAACAGAAATATTAAGATCCAAGTCGGCAAATTGGCATAATAAAAATTCAAAATAAAGACAGAAGACAATGCAGTCACTCAACAGGTGCTTTGAATGGTTGTGTTAGTGTTTGCGCCCTCTGCTGGTAACAATGAGAAGTGACAAAACTGGAGCTGGTCATTTTAGCAACTTGCGCCACAATTTAAAGACGCACTGTGTAACTTTCCCGGTTGTGCTCAAGGAGATGTTTGCCTGGAATGGACAAGCAGGTATTGATAGTCCGCTAAGTTACAGGTCAGCTCTGTGTAGTGGCAAGCCCTCTCACAGTTTTACGAGACAATACAAACACATGTGATTTAATAATGCAGTATGGACGTACTTAATGCCATATTGTGGAACCCTGCAGGCAAAGCAAATGCATCTCCTTGGAAACAAGCAGACGACCATTAGAGAAAAGTTGCATAGTGCTCCTTTAATCGCTAAAGTTACCAGAATAAGTTAGAAAAAAAAAAAAAAAGTGTTTTATCCTCAGCTAATGTGAATGAACCAAAAAACTATTCCAGGTATTTTTTTTATTTTTTCTTTAATAAGGAAACAACTTCTACCACAGCAGATAGGACGAATTCACTGAAACCAATTACACAGAGACGAGAAGCAGCTACAAAACACCATATATTCACACAGCTCAATGCATTATGGATAAAAGCATTATTATGTAACTACTCCTTCCAACGCCGTGTACACTGTAACAGAACTTACCTGCGCTAAAAGAAAATACTGGTTCCTCTTTGAATGCTCCCACTGCCATGTTATAATTTCCTCTGTATTCATATTTGCATAGTCATTTTGAGTTCATTTTGCCTGTATTTCCAAAGTGCAGTAAGGGCATTTCTATTACAGATGTGGGTTTGCATAAGATGGAAGATTATATTGTAATATCTCAAACAATGCCATGAGATACAGAGACAGCTGTCCAGTGCCATCTGTGGAGCGATGGACGATCAATCATGTTGTCTAAAGAAAAGTTTTGTATGAAATTATAAATGGTATCCAGTCATTTTCTGATTTGGTCCGAGGCAATGATGCGTTACATGTGAAATTAAGTTGTGAATCTTAGGCTGTATATTTCACATTTCTTGTTCACAACAGTATTTCAGTGTTTCTATATCTGCGTTTGCATCTGTCCTGGTTTGATTCCTGGTTTAGTCCATATAGAGACTTGGTTTGGTCGTGTTTTTGATTTTTTTTTTAAAAAAAAAATCCACTAATAAAAGACCACATTGTAGTATTAAAGCTGTAATTCTCAAATTAATTTCTCTCCAGCGACTAGGTCAGGAATCAGAATACATTAGACTGTTTGCAAAAATCCCTGAAGTGCGAGTTCGGGCACCAGCCAATCAGCGAAGAGCCATACATTCGTGTTGGCAACGATTCCCAAGATCGAGGATTTAAAGCCAGAATAAAGAGAATGTTTGGTGAATCTGATCAAGGGGAAAGACGGTTATTGCCCTTCTTCGTACAGGATTTGGGAAAAGCGTAATATACCAGTTTGCCCCGTTAGCAGCGCATTACATACGTCACGACCAAATAGCAGCGATTGGTTAAACAAAAAAAGTACCCGCCTACTGTCGAGCGAATGAATCCTAACACTGCTAGGTCAGACGGTTTGTACAAAGTGAAACTGGCTGATGAATCAGGTTAGCAGTAAGTAACTTTTCACACCAAATCTTGCATCCTTACTGTGAGTGGGCTTGCATCTCTACAAACCCGAGACTTATTTATTCTGGGGAAGAGCCTCCTCCTGCTAGTTTCTATGGATATGTTTGTCCTTTTGGTAAATGGTCCCATTTTTATATCGCGCTTTTCCACCTTCACGGACCTCGAAGCGCTTTACATCAAGGAACCGCTCGCCAATTCAGTGTACGCAGACAGTGGGGGCGAGATGGATTAAGTGTCTTGTCCAAGGACACAACGATAGCATTCATCTGTAGGAGCTGGAATCACACCGCCAACCTTTGGATCAGTGGACAATTATGAGCCAACTGAGTTACTGTCACACCTTTTAGCTGTAATAATCCACATTATGTCATTAACTTTGTATCATCCAGGTGCCCCCTTCAGAAAGTTGCATACTGTGCTGTAAAATAATCATCACTGGTGGTATTTCATTTAAGCCTTAAACCGAATATTTGAGGAAGTCGAGTCCCAGTATAGCCCTCATTCTGACATGGTCCTAGTGTAAACACAGCCTAATCTGTTAGCACAAACAGCAGTAACGTGGCCTCCCTGTGGTCACCATCCCTCGCTGCGGTGGTCCGGTCCCTTTAAGCCCTTTATGAAGCGTGTGCTCTCATTAAACTTTAACGCTGACAGCTTATATTGTTATCACTGGGCTTTAAAACTCACAGCGCTAGGGCCCCGCGAGTCCTCTGTTCACTTAATCGCACATAACACCGTAAATTGCTGTTAATTCGAGGCTGCGTTCCGAGTGCGGCCCCCTACCCCTGTCCTGGCCCTTGGGTGACCCCGTTTGTTTTGGTTATTTCCCCTTTAATGTCCACCACGTACCTCGTGGATATGCATAAACTGCTATCATTGTTGTTTGAAATTGCAATAGAGTGTTTTCAAAATCCCAGCAGTTTGCCCAAAGCTATTAAAATGAGGCTTTCGAATCATTTCACATTCGCGGACAGAAGGTGATGATGTTTTCACAAGCACACAGAGAACAGGCTAATCGTACATAGATATAATAATTACACATTGTCAACTGCAGGCCAATTATAGATGGGCATGTGGCATACTGGGGTTATAATGTAGTAGGCTATTAGTCCGCCCAGAGCCACACAATCACCTCAATATCCGGCGATAATCTTCAAATAAACATATTCCAACAGAAAAACATTGCAGCAATTTCCAGTTTAACCAGCTAATGTTTGTGCGAAAGGCGAGTTTGAAACAACATTAATATGCATGTAGTTAGTGGAATACTAGTGTGGTTTCTGTGAAGAGCCGGGTTACATGTGCAACATTTTTAGCAGGAAAAAAGTCAATTTTAGAGTGCTTTGAAGAAAAACGTTAATGAATTGATGTGAATTTTAATCAGTGGACATTGAAGCTGCACTTTGTAACTTTTTGACTGAGGGTCGGTCACATTTATGTTACATTTATTCAATTAGAGTTGGTTTTATAGCTCAAAAATATCTAGAAAAACAGGCATACTGACTGTGAGCGGGGTCGCCTCTCCACAGATCTGACCTGTAACTTGATCTGGTTTGGTCTCCATGAAGATAGAAAGTTTTATACCATACTGTGAAACATTCCATACAAAGCAATAACATTTCCATTGAGAAAAGTTACACAATGCACCTTTAAATAATATTGTAAATCTCTAAACGTTTCAAAATTAGCATCATAACATTAGGCTAAATTTGAGCTGACATGAACTACTACTACTACTATGAAACTGGTCAGAAACTGGTTCACATCTACATATTTAAAAATGTTTTATATATTTTATTTTAGGGAGTTGTTATTTTTGGTTGTGAAAATAACTTGTCACTTTGTACTAGCTAAAATAATGACGTTGACTTTTTAGCACTGCCGTTAGCAATGTGGCGCTAACAGAATGATAAATTAGACCTCTATTACAAACAAGCCACATTATTATTCATGTATTTCAGTTTTGTGTTATAAGTGACATTTTGAGGACTTTTTAACATTAAAATTATATAAAATTTTTTTTTAAATTGATAAATGTTATGGCCTAGCTTTTCATACTTGCCCTGAAAAGTGAAGTGGACATTTGTTAGCATACTGGGTTACTTAAAAATGCACGAATAAAAAATAAATTAATTAAATAAATTATGATACAAAAAAAATTCTATTCAAATAATAATTTAATAAGGGAACAACATTTTAATATTTTCAATAGTAAAAATAAATAAATAAATATATAACTAAAAAATAAAAATCACAATATACCCTTGAAACATATCCTTTTTAAATTCTAATCTTTTTTTTTTTTTTTCCACAGTCAAATTCCCTGGCACCAAGACTTACATCGACCCCGAAACCTACGAGGACCCCAACAGAGCCGTCCACCAGTTTGCCAAAGAGCTGGACGCGTCGTGCATTAAAATCGAGCGGGTGATCGGAGCAGGTGAGCCCAACCTATAGCACCCATACATCACGGCGGTACCCATATTTACATCGCAATGACACCCGCATTACACCTTGAGTAGGGACACAGCTCCACGCGGGGGATATTGATAGCGGGATCGCAAAGAATAGAAAAAAAGTTCATTGCAATTAATGTGTGGTCCTGTGGAGGGCTTCGGCGAGTGAAAAATGGCCACCGCATGGGTTTTCCAAAGGCGGTCAATGACAGTATCTATGCATCTCCGCCTTGTCTTATTATAGGTCTTGCTTCTTCTCCCCCGGGGATAACAGGATGTCGCGCTCCAATTTGTATTCCAGCTGCTTTGTCTCTGGGATAAATTTGTCATTGTGAGGAGGCTGATTGTGACGCGGTTCATTCTTCATTCGCAGGGGAGTTCGGGGAGGTGTGCAGCGGGCGACTCAAGCTGCCCGGAAAGAGGGACGTGCCGGTGGCCATTAAGACCCTGAAAGTGGGCTACACCGAGAAGCAGAGGCGGGACTTCCTGTGCGAGGCCAGCATCATGGGGCAGTTCGATCACCCCAATGTGGTGCACCTGGAGGGCGTCGTCACCAGAGGTACGGGAAGTAGACTGTTTTGTTTTCTGATATTTGTAGTATTTGGACGATATACAACCGAAAAACTATATTACGCTGATGTTAACTAAATTTAAGATGGATGGTTCTAGTTCAGTTCTTAGGACTGACCTGAACATCTTTAACAGACATCTGAAACTGTAGCTCAAATCAGGACACATAGGCTACGTTCAGACTGCAGGGCTTAAGACTCAATTCAGATTTTTTTGTGAAATCTGATTTTTTTGCAAGTTCGTTCACATTTCCAATTGAATGCGACTTGTATGTGATCTCCAGTGTGAACTTTAAACGCCCCAAAAGCGTCCTGTATGTACATTAGAGGACACGACGACGTCACTGCTCAGTGTTTAAGGAAGTAGCCTAAACTCTGAGTTTGTCTCCCAAAATAGTCTAGTTCTTCGTAAATGGACAGGCGACAGACGTCCACGGCCGCTACGTTTGTTTGAGTCTTTAACCTCCTTGTATTTGGTTCACAAGGTCTTTATTTTCCATTGACATTGGAGCCAGGACTGCCTGTAGCCGCGCTCGGCCATTTCTTTGGGAATCATTTCAAGAACCGCCACTTTCGTCACTTTACCTCCATTGACTAGACTCCAAGCCAGACATGTAGGTGGGCTGAATGTGACCTGGCCATTCAGACTGAAGTCACATGTCAAAAGATCGGATATGTATCGGTTTTAGGAGCAGAAATCCAAGTGACCTGGGTCACATTTGAAAAAATCAGATCTGTGTCATTAAAAGATCAGATAGAGGTTGCATAGGGGCAAAAAAATTTGATTTGGGTCTCTTCAGGTTGCAGTCTGAATGTAGCCATAGAAGTGTTAATGTTATGTTCTTACTTTAATTCATTCTAAATTCTCTTAAAGCCTCCTATGTTGAAAATGTGTAGTTTTTGTATGTGGTTCATCAAATTACATTGTTATGTCAACATAGTATGTATCGGGCCGAATTTTTCTGTCCGAGCGCGGCCCGTGTCGGACAGAGCAGTGATTGAATCCAACCCAAGCCCGATAGGTATAACGATATTTGTGTTCAAACCTGACCAAACCAATTGAAATCAGACTATTTTAGGTTTACTCATGACACACATAGGATATTGTTTGTGTGGCCTCTAACGGACACAGAGATGCAAAATACAAACTCGGGATATTGCGATAATTATGAGAAAACTTTTTTACTCACCTCTAGTAAAGTGATAAATTTAAAGTGCAGCATCACATCCATATTATCCATAGAAATTGTCCTCTGCAAATAATGACGTCCAGTCCACAAAACAGCACCGTGTATCCACTTTGAGGAGTTCTTTAAAAGTAAAAAAGCAAAAGTAGTTCACGTGTGTCTGTTTACATCCACATATCAAGGATCGAGGTGAAGCTGCAGATTAGCAACGGGTTCCAACGGGTGCCATCGGACTTCGGTCGAGTTTCCATGCTCTAGTCCATATTAATTAAATAAATAAAATAGATGAGACAAAATTTCATACCAAAAGATCTCACAAGATAACATCGACTTGTGTAGAATCTTGTGAATTTTTTTTTTCCATGTTTTGACTTGGAGAAAATAAGGGGTTTCATGCTGGTGAGTTACATCTCTTGAGAAGCTGTTGTTCCAAAAAAGTGCTTCAGTGACAGCATGAAATCAGTAAAAACTAAGGCCAAAATTATGAACTGAATCGTATCATTTCTGTATTATAAATTATGTCAAAATCCAATCTTGTCTTGTTCTCTTGGTCAATCTTGTGTCAATTTTGTGGGAATTGTGTCTTCGCCCATAACCACAAGTCAATTCAAAAGTTTTTTAGAAAGTCTGCCAAACATACTTTAATATTATAAAAGCAAGAGTTCAGTGGAATTTTTAACAATCAGTGCAGTTTTGGACAGAGTTAGGCTCCTGAACAAATTTGGAGAATAAGAAAGTCAGTGTATGGATAACTATTTGGATAAAAATCATCCATTTAATCACGTTTTAAAGGTAGATTACACCAACTAATATTCAGTGCAGTTGTTTCTGGAACTTATTTTCTCAACAAATGCTACCGCAGAAAAAAGTCATCTAAATATTTCTAACTTCCAAGAAAACAAAACAAAAAAAAACCTCTTGTGTGTAAATGGACTGTCATTAGCACTTATTAGATTAGCCACAGTGCCTGGTTCACTCCGTCTCATTTCGACAGTGTAATAAAAGAGCAGATGGTACATTTTAATTAAAAGCCAATGAAACAGCAGCTAAAAATACCTGTAAAGCATCATCAGCGTTATGGAGGAGCGATGTAAGCACACGGCGTTTAGGAATCAATTAATCACACAGTGTCTTGTCTCAGGTAAACCAGTGATGATCGTCATAGAGTACATGGAGAACGGATCATTAGACGCCTTCCTCAGGGTGAGTGAAACTTCTACATCTACACACAAACTTTAGATCTATCTCCCATTCTGATTCATGAACTTCAGAGCATGTTCTGTCTGAGGTTTTGTTAGACTTTTATGGAATCAATTTTGAGTCGTATAGTTTAAAGAACGCTTTTAAAACGTCAAGCAAAAAATTAGATTGCAGTCATATTATTTCTGTAATTGTGTAGAATATCTGTCTTTGCCTCGTTTATTTTTGTTCCGCGTCTTTCTCAGTTTTGTTTGATGCCTTTTTTGTTTTCTTTTTGGTTACGATTCTCTCTATCAAACATAAATTAGCCGTGGAAATCCCATCCACATTTGTGCCAAAGCTGCAAGCAAAAAGTCAGGCTGCACAAACGAAAAGGCTGGAATCGTAAGCAAAGAAAATGGCAAAGAAAAGACGCAGAACAAAAGCAAAATGTTTCCAAAGAGGCAAAGACAGACATTTTGCACGATTACCCAGTTAGTTTGATTGCAGATTTATTTGTTTGTATTTTATTTTACTTCTTCTTTTTTTTTATTTGGTATTTTGCGTTATACTTTGAACAATTTGACTCAAAACTGATTCCATAGACTTTAATCTGAACTTTTTTTAAACACATTCTGACCAGAAAGAACTGACTACAACAGGTGATCTGATTTGTGCTCTTAAGCAAGTCTCTCACATAAAATTACAGTCACACGCCAACCATTTTTTCAGTTTGTCTCTCTCACCTTTTTTGTTGAAAATCAAGACTCCTAAACCGGACCATGAAAGCTTGTATTGATCACAGGCTCTTGAAAATATGTTTAAATCAAATCAAATTTTCAGGCTACTACTATCACTGCAAAGTATCAGTTATCAGATCTGATTTTGGTGTTTGTTTACATGCTCAAAAGAAATCTGATCTTTATTTATTATTATTTCATCATTTTATCAATGGATGGTACAGTTGAATTTGAAAAACAATTCGTTTTTTGTCACATCAGTTGTCCTTTTCATAACCTCCTCAAACACGAACAATCAGAAAGAAATCAGATAACTCACATCAAATATAACCGTTCACATGACATTTCAATAATCTGATAACTCCAGAAATCAGATAAGCCAGTGTATATCTGTATAAACATGTGTCTAAACTGGCAGTGTAGTAATTATCCATAAACTGTTTAAAGAAGTGGACTAAGTGAGTGTGTTATCACCCATAGTGTTTGGCTCCAGTCAAATGAAGCTCACCAAGGCTAGCGGTTATAGAAGCGAATTTGGAGCCAGCCATTTTAGGAATAGGAGTTTATTTACGGAGAAAATAGCGAAATAAACACACCAGGATCATGTAGAGTGGGTTAAATGTGCACTGTCACTTTTTGGTTGGAGGTCCGTCATCTGCTTCCCTTGAATGTTCCACAGCTTTACCTTACGTTTATTCAGTTACAGGTGGGTTTACTGCTCAAAAATATCTAGAAAAACTTTGACTTTGAGAGAGGTTGCCTTTCCACAGATCTGACCTGTAACTTGGTCTGGTTTGGAAGATGAAGATAGAAAGAAAGAGAAAGCAATAACATCTGCGTGGAGAAAGCATTTGACACACACTCCACCACAAAAGTTACAAAATGCACCTTTAATACGAGCATTTTAAGATCAAAATGACGAGGCTCACAGCTGCATTTACAGAGAGAGGAGACAATTTTTCAACGTAAAGCCAATTGGAGCCAGAGTCGAAGGAGCCGGAAGCGCAACCATGCTCACTTTCTATCTGGAACGCAACAGCTGATCTAAACTGGTCGTCTAGTGATTATCATGAGAGACCTTTAACTAAAACGTTGTACTAAGGCCATAGCAGTTTGTGGCACCTCCCTCTGCATTTGCCCCCACTGGTCGGTGAAATCCCCGTTTTTCTCTCTTCTCCACAGAAACACGACGGCCAGTTCACAGTCATCCAGCTGGTGGGCATGCTCCGGGGCATAGCGGCCGGGATGAGGTACCTCTCCGAAATGGGCTACGTGCACCGAGACCTGGCCGCTCGCAACATCCTGGTCAACAGCAACCTCGTGTGCAAAGTGTCCGACTTTGGACTGTCGCGAGTGATGGACGATGACCCCGAGGCTGTCTACACAACCACCGTGAGTCAATTAAAGCGCGCTGTCAGGAACGGCGTCTGCGTTCTGTCTCCAATTAGATCTGCTATGTCTGAGTACTTTAATATGAGGGAGCCATCCATCACATTCTGTTTACAGCCAGTCTCTGGAAACTGGATACAGTGAGAGGACTGGTATCCACACGCGTGATATGGAGCAGGACGAGTGGACGTGTGGGCCTGGGTTGCTAATATGTGTTACGTAGAGTGCGGAAAATGCACGGCCTCAGATAGCAGTGTTGATATAAGGAATTTGCCGGATTGGGTATCGGTTTCAGGATATCGGTTCAATTGATATGGTCTTAGGTCTTAATTTGGATGTTGTGAGACTATTTACTGACTGAAACAGGCCCAACAAGTCTCATAATGTTTGAACTTTAATTCATATAAAGCTGTTTAGTTATTACTTGCAGGATAAAAATAAGTTAACAGTGGCCATTTCTAATCTGTTGATTCATTTTTCAATATAAAACCAAAAATAAGAAAATGAAAAAACAACTATTTTCTTCATTATTAGTCTCGAAAACCAAAATGAAAAAACGGATAACAGCCATTTCCAGTTTACGTGACTTAAACTGCGATGCTGGACTTTTGCACTGCAAAACTGACTGAACTAGGACTGAACCAGGACTGAAACAGGACTAAACCGGTTTCAGTCCTGGTCTCAGTCCCAGTTTGGTTCCGGTCTCGTCCCAGACTTGGTTTAGTCCTGGTTCAGTCCGTGTGCAGCACAAAAGTCCAGCATCCCAGTTTAAGTCACAGAAACCGGAAACGGTCTTTGTTTTTTTCCATTATTCATGTAAACACAAAATCGAAAACTGAAAAATCTAATCGTTATCCGTTTTTTCATTTTGGTTTTGGAGACAAATAATGAAAAAAAATTGTTGTTTTTTCATTTTCTTATTTTTGGTTTTATATTGAAAAATGAATGAACGAATGATACACAGATTATTTCCTATCCCTACTCTGGTACCAGCTGATACTTACAGCCAAATATCAATATCGGTTTTGGAGCTGAAACGACTGGACCGGTGCATCCCTAGTCTCAGAAACAAAAACAAAAAACATCACATTTCGAGCCTGTACACCTTTTTGTGATGTTGCTATGCCATGTAACAAAGGTTTGAAAGTAACTCATTACAAACACTTGCTGGTTCTGTAACTGGGTACATTTCTGACATATTTTTTGTACTTTTTAGTAGACTTTTAAACATGTACTTGTAATTGCAATTTGCCACATTTAAAATCATAATAATTGTTGAGGAAAGTACAAGTCCCAACTGTCCCAATTAACAGCTGCCTCCACACTTCCCCGGCTTCGTACTAAACCGACGAAAACATCTTGATTCAGCTGAAAATTGTTTGATTAACAAGTTTTGTATAAAAGACTGATCTAAAACGCTACTAAAATTCCATATAAAGGGATCTAGAGCTCCAAGTAGTATTTTTCCTGCATACATTATACTTTTACTTGAAATTTTAGCAGCAGTACTTGTAATCATGTAACTGCACTGTTACTTGAGTACACTTTCCCAGTATTCTTTTCTATCCAGTAATCGAGAACAATTAAAGGCACTGTGCCAGATTTTTACTGTCTTAAAAACAAATTTTGCTCAAATATATGGGCACTTTAAGCATAGTAGTATATTTTATTTGATTTATTTGATTGTGTACTTATACGACTGTCTATGTATTGTCATTATGTGTGTGTGTCTAAATATCCACTTTCTCTGCTGTTTTAGGGGAAGAAAAAGGATGTGTTTAATTCCCTGTATGCTCCAGCCACTGACCTGCGTTTTGCTGAACAGGGAGGCAAGATCCCAGTGAGATGGACCGCTCCAGAGGCCATCCAGTACAGGAAGTTCACCTCCGCCAGCGACGTGTGGAGCTACGGCATCGTCATGTGGGAGGTCATGTCCTACGGGGAGAGGCCCTACTGGGACATGTCCAACCAGGATGTGAGTCTCATTCTGTCCACTCCTGTAGACGTAGATAGCCTGTTTAGCCAGACTGGTGGTTTATTTATGTACGAGGATAGATGTTTGGTCATAACTCGCTTTGCTGTTTCTCAAATTCAGACAGAGGTAAATGTGTGTCTCTGATTGGTCGAGCTGTCTGTCAATGACACCCGATGGAATTCTGGGAGGGACGACCTAGAATCGTCCTTTTATAGTACAGTTGTCCCTCACTATAACGTGGTTCACCTTTCGCGGCCTCGCTGTTTCGCGGATGTGTGTATGAACGCGCATTATGTTCCTCCCCCTGCGTCCTGATAAACCTTTGTCAGTCAGTCTCCTCCGTGCCATGTCTCCTGTGCAGTACAGAATGCATTCAGCTCACCAAATTTACATAAATGTTCTCTAGCAGTGTGATTCTGAAGTTCTTCATGTTTGCGAGTTTTCTCCCCGACAAAACCCACAATGTCGATGAGACGTTCTGCACCAACAAAGGCTCCAGCGGTCGCAGCCAAAAGATAGAGGAAGATATAACCATCACGCAAAAAGTTGAACTTCTGGACATGCTGAAGGAACCTTGAAGATACGCGGCTGTAGGGCACCATTATGGAATAAATTAATCTTCGTTTGTTACATAAGGAAGAAGGAAAACAACATAAGGACGAAAGGGGTTTTACAGTATAATAACTGTAAATTATAAAGCTGACTACTTTGCAGATTTTGCCTATTGCGGGTCATTTTTAGAACGTAACCCCCGCGATAAAGGAGGGACCACTGTATAACAAAAGCAGGTAGTCAAGGCCATCTCCATACAAACTTAAAACTAAGAAAGGGCTGAGCAAATACCAAAAATTGTTATATCAATACAGACATTAGTCATTGAAAAGTATTCTCATGTAAAAATATCAAAACTTAAATTTATTTTTGTATTAAAGTGTATCTGCGTATATTATTTTTTTTTAGGAAGGGTTCAATTTAGGATGGAGAAAAGATACCAACGTAAAATACTTTATACAAGAGTCATTGGTATCAGTATCGTATCAATATCGTGGTACGTACCATAGTTTCACTTGGTATCAGATCAAAACAAAAATCCCAAGTGTCTGCCCACCACCAGTAAAATAAATGACGCATCACTTTTCCAGTACTGGATATGAAATACGATTCAGGTAGGTCAAAATTCAATAAAGCCTCAGAGTGAACCATTTTTTTAATCAAATGTCCTGAGAAAACTTCGTCTCGTCCCAGAATGAAAAGTGTCACAACCTTGGACATAATGAATTCCACTAAAGCTCCAATAATCAGCAGAGTCTGAAGGGGACCTGGCACAGATGAATAAATCCATATTATTGTTTGAGGCAGAAACATAAATAAGACAAACAGAAAGAATCGTCACGCACAGTCGTCCTTTAAACTTTCTAATGATTTATGGAAATGATTGTATGCTGTGTTCGAGTTCCATTTACAGCAGAGGAATTTTTAGATTTTTGATGCAGAGTTAAGAATATAAACATATACATCTGCTCTTGTAAGGACTGAGTTTAGACGGTTGAAAACACGCCAAAAACAATTAAAATAAACTAGTTACAAACCAGATAAACTTGCACTTTTGCAGTGTCTGAATCTCTGTATTTTTGCGTCATTTTTCCAAAACCACTTTATAAGAACTACACTTTAATTAGCCTCAAAAAGCATAAAAAAAATACTTAATTAAAGCTGCATTGTGTAACTTTTATGCTGGATGGCCCATTTAACGCTTGGAGATGTTATTGCTTTGTCTAGAATGTTTTTTTTTGTTTTTGTTTGTTTTTTTTGATGTATTTTTATTTTTTTTGGATTTATATTTTTATTTTTATCTTTTTTTTATTTATTTAAGACAAAGAATATAACATTAACATTTAACAAAATACAATAATCAACATAAAACCAAAACACAAAAACATGGAGCAACACCCACAACAAATACAAAACAACAAAAATGCCCCCTGACCACTTTTTTTATTTTGATTTGTTGTATTTAATTTATCATCACGAAGACCATCACCAGACCAAGTTACAGGTCAGATCTGTGGAGAGGCGACCCACAACCCAGAATGATTGTTTTTATTCATACTGTGGAACATTCCAGGCAAAGCACTGACATATCCATAGCAACAAACAGGTGACAGACCCCCAACCAAAAAGTTACATAATGCGCCTTTAATAATGAAGAATTGTTTATTAAAAATTATCCATTGATGATTGATTGATGATTATTTAAAAGGTTAGGAGTAACTTTCTGAAATGAAAAGTTAAAACCATACTTCGGAACATTTCTCATTTAGATAAGATGAGTTTTATGCCGTACTGTAAAAGATTATAGTCAGAGGAACAACATTTCCATGGAAACAAGCAGAAGGAAACACGCCTCTGAGCCAAATAAGAGTCAGGTTTGTGGAAATGCAAGCACACTCACGAACTAATCAAAATGACAAAAGATTAAGACAAATATGTTTTTATCTTTCATCTAAAAGTTACATAGTGTGGCTTTAAACTTAGTGTATCATTTAAGTAGTTACTAAGCCTGATTAAGTTAGTAAACTACACACTTTATTAAGGCTATTGCAGTTGTGTAGTTATGAAGTGTTGTTTTCTTATATTTGAATGTATTTGTTTGGAGGATGAGCCTGTTCAGATGTTTCGCCATCTCGTTTTCCAGGGGCTCCTCATAGTTACACCTGCAGAAGACAGATACAGCAGGGCAGACAGTAGGCTACAAAAACTCAAACAGAGATAAAACAAAACAACAAAATCAACACAACCACACACTCACTCACTTACACTCACACTTGACTGTTACACATAATAAATCAAAGTTAAACAAAAACTAAGACAAAGTTCAAATAGAGTCACAAAATACAAATACAAATTCAACAAAATGATCAAAAACAATTACAATTATATCTTTGTTTTTTCATTTGTGTTATATTGAGGTACAGGAGAATCATTATTACATACTTCATAGCTCAAATCCTTGTGCTTTTTCGTTTTAGTGTGAGACTTGGGAAACCATTTTGTGACACTGCCTGCTGAACAAAGCTCTAAAACGACTCAAAAAGTTATAATTTTAGCAAGTTTTTTTTTCTGTCCTGTAAAATGAAACATCAAAATGTGCCTCCTGCCCGTCTTTTCTTCAGTCTAAACTCAAAGAGGCAAACGCCCCCGGCTCAGTGTGGCGCGAGCAGCAAACAATGTCAGAGCATCTCACCACAACGACTCTCAAAGCCTTTTAACAAATGTCATCAGTTTGTGTCTCTCCAACAGTGAAGCCGACTCAGGCCAACTCCTGAGTGGCTCCTGCTGATAGACCCCACTGCGCCAGGGCTCCTCTCTCCTTCTCTCTCCTCTCTTCTCCTACTTTCTCACCTTCTTTCCTTCTCTCTCCTCCTCTCTTTCTCTCATCTTCTCTCACCCTGTCCTCCTTTTTCCTTCTCTCTCGTCCTTTCCGCTCTCTCCTCCTCTCTCTTCTTCCCTCCTCCTGTCATCTCTCTTCTCTTTCCTTCTCTCTCTGCCTCTCTCCTCCCCTCTCCTTGTCTTTATTTCTCCTCCTCCTCGTTCCACTTCCTCCTCTTTTTTTCTTTTCCTCCTCTTTCCCTCTCGTTCCTCTCTCCTCTCTCCTTGTCTCTTTCTCCTCCTCCTCCCTTCTCTCTCCTCCTCTTTCATCCTCTCTCTCTTCCTCTCTCCTTCTGTCTCTTTTCTTCTCCTTCTCCTCTCTCCCTTTCTCCTTCTCTCTCTTTCTCTTCTCCTCTTCTCTCTTCTCCTCTCTCTCCCTCTCTCTTCTTCTCTCCTTCTGTCTCCTCTCTTCTCTTTCCTCCTCTCTCTGCCTTCTCCTTCTCTTTCTCTCTCCTCCCTTTTCCTCTCTCCTTCTTTCATCTTGTCTCTTTCTTCTAATCTTTCCTCTCTCATCCTCTCTGCTCCTCTTGGCTCTCTCCTCCTCTCTTCTCTTTCCTCCTTTTTCCTCCTCCTTCCTCTCTCCTTCCCTCTCCTTGTCTTTCTTTCTCCTCCTTTCTCTTTCCTTCTACTTCTCTCATCTACTGTCTTTCTTTCTCCTTTCTCCTCTTTCCTCTCCCATCCTCTCTGCTCCCCCTTTCTCTCTCCTCCTCTCTCTTCTTCTCTCCTCCTGTCTCCTCTCTTCTCTTTCCTCCTCTCTCTGTCTTTCTCCCTCTCTCCCCTCCTTTTTCCTCTCCTTATTTTCGTTCTCTTTCTTCCTCCTCCTCTTTTCTTTCCTCTCTCCCATGAAGCAAAATTATAAACCACCAACATTTAAAACTAGAAAAAACAAAACTATTTATCAAAATCTCAAATCAGTTTAAATATATACAACAAACTGAGTCGTCTAACCTTTGATTTCCACTTTAAGCTCGCAGACTGGCCCCTGAGCGAAGTCCCCTGCGCCGTCTGAAACACTGAGGGCCCCCGAGTGATGCCGGTGTTTGACAGACTTCAGTGTCAGAAATCTGTGTCAGGGGTAGAGGGAGGGAGACGGGGGAGACGGGGGAGGAGGGGGGGGGGTTGCCGTAGCGATCTCATTTGCATTTCTTCCAGTGTCTGCGAGTGTTTTGACACCTCTCCTCCGTGACTCATGCGGGAGAGGGCCTGACAGCGCAGATGATGAATATGTGCACGAAATACGTCTTATTCTCAGCTGAAAACGCGCTGGGAATGGGGCTGACCTGTGCGCAACCTGCTTCCTCCACGCTTTAATAACTCGCATTTGGGTTCATGGAAAACACATTTTCTTCTGCGGAGAGTTTTGGGAAAATCCAGTATTTTTATTTATTTATTTATTTATTTATTTTGTTCCAGAAAATGCAGAAAATAAGATTCAGTGGCAATTTCAAGTTTTAAAAATGTGCCTATTTAACCTGTTTTCATTAAGTTTTCACAATTGTGGGAGAAAACTAAAATATAATTGCCCAATAACGTCTTCCCACAGAAACGTAAAGGCACATTGTGTAACTTTTATACTTTTCGCCATTTGCTTTGTTTGGAGTGTTTCAGAGTGTGGTATTAAACCTTTTTATCTTCATGGAGGCCAAACTAGACCAAGTTGCAGGTCAGATCTGTGGAAAGGCGACCCCACTCAGTCAGAATTCCTGTTTTTCTACATATTTTTGAGCTATAATACCACTGTAGTTGAATAAATATAAGTAGAGATTAGTGATAGTGAGTTCAACTTCCTGTGTACTTTATTTCCAACTTTCTATGCCTTAATCATGTAACTGAAATATTACCACATTTTACAAATAATAATAACACAGTTTTGACTTGTATCTAAACTAGAAGTGCAGTGCTCGGATCTTTTGAACACTGAAGAGACTCAAAGTGAGACAGGAAACAGCTGACGCATTAACTCTTTCCCCGTTGGACGCCTACTAGGAACACACACACATACATATATTACTAGGGTTACCCATAGAGCACAACTGCATAAAAGAAACTGGACTTCCACATTCATGAACTTTACTGAAACGCAGACATATTTGGTATCTCTGGAAACCTTAGGCTACGTTCAGACTGCAGGGCTTAATGCTCAATTCCGATTTTTTTGTGAAATCCGATGTTTTTGCGAGGTCGTTCACATTTCCAATTAAATGCGACTTGTCTGTGACTCCAGTGTGAACGGTAAACGTACTGGAGGACACGATGACGTCAACCCCATGCGTCAACCGCAGCGAGCGTGCTCTGTGTTTACGGAAGTTGTCCAAACATGGACGCGAGCATTGAGCACCTGGCGATTTTACAGTTCCGGTTTCCGCCTGCTTCAGCGCAGAATAGTGACATTTGTCACTTGTTGATGACGTGTAGGTCGGATGAATGCGCTTTGGCCGTTCACACTGAAGTCGCATGTCAAAAGATCGGATATGTATCGGTTTCAGGAGCACATATCCATTAAAAGATCAGATACAGGTCACATAGAAGCCAAAAAATTGGATTTGGGTCTCTTCAGGCTGCAGTCTGAACGCAGCCTTAGACTCTGAACTCTTCATTCATTTTACAGGTTTATAACAGCTCACTGAAAATGAGAGTTTACCTGGTCAGGTGCAAAATCGAAAACAAAAAAACTACATTCAGCATCTGATATATGCATGTTCTGAGTACTATATTCATAAAAAATAAAAGTAAATATATTTGTCAAAGTATTTAAACAGATTTCATATCACCAGATACAGTATAGCCAAGTGTGCACCTGTTTATACCTGTTGTACACCTATTATTCAACTCATTTAACTTATTCAACTCATTTAACTTATTCAACTCATTTAACTTATTCAACTCATTTAACTTTTTATTCAACTCGTCGTCAAATCACGTCTTTAGTGATATAGTGGAGGTGTCAAAACAAGTGATTAAGGATACAAGGGGGGTCGTCAAATGTCGTCTTCATGGGGGAAAGAGTTAATGCTCAGAACTGTGTAGACTGTGCCAGAGTCCTGCACAGGTCCATTTTTGGAGACCCGCACCCACTTGCACCCACGCAGTACAGCACGGCACCCACCTGTTAACCCATGATTATATCAAAGTTAAACCCTCACCCACCCAGACCCATTACCCCTCAACCCTTGGAGGTAAACGCAACCGTCGCCCAATCACGCTTTGCGGACACCCTGCTCTCTCTCTCAAGTCCAAGATAAGTCCTGGTTTATACCTTGTTTATACCTTGTTTAGTCCTGGTTTATACCTTGTTTAGACCTGGTTTAGTCCTGGTTTAGACCTTGTTTAGACCTGGTTTAGTCCTGGTGTATTCCTGATTTAGTCCTGACCTGCCCGTGTGTAATCACTACCCGCCCGCATACCCACCTGCAAAATTCCAGAACATTAAATCTCGCCCATTTCAGCAACTATCTGCCCGTACCCGTCGACCCAGTGCAGGACTCTGGTCTGTGCTGTGCTCTGCAGCCGTATCCTGCTGCCGTCTTTGCGATCACAGATTTAAATTCTCCTCGTGTTTATGGTGTGTGCTTTTTGTCGCATGTTTAAAAATCATTTAAAACTGAAAAATCCTGTAGTGTGGAGCAGCCTTAAGACATTGGTTTAAACGTTCCAGAAAATGCATCGTTTTAGGCATTTTTGAGCTGCTAACGTCCTAATTATTCACCAAAATTAGTTTATAAGCTCTTTTCACAACACAACTAACAGCAACTAGCATGCTAACACACGCTTTCTGACAATAAAATGCTTTCTAATTAGATGCTTAGATTTATTTTGACCTCGAGAGCTGCTTATATGATATATTTATACTTGGGCAAGTCACATTTTGCTCTGATACATGAAATAAAATCAGGGCCTTTTAAGTAATTAACCTAGATTTCTGTGCATTCAAAACATCGTAGTTGCCAACAGGAGCTCAAGGACCTTTTGAAGTTACAATGGGGAGAGAATCAATTTAATGACACAAATAATTACTAGTTGCGAGCGTCAATGCTGAGTTAAATTTACAAAACAAATCTGTAACCGTGTTGTTGCGGAACCTGCTCGTCTCCGTGGAGATGAAGACACGGCGTCAAGCACAGCAGACACTCCTCCGGCAAAGTTACACAGTGCACCTTTACAGCGCGAGGAGATGGATGACGACTATTTCTTACTAATACTAATTATTCCGATGAAATAACCGCGCCGTCGTCCCGGATGGTTACCTGGCCTCCCCTCCAGAGCCCACAGGAGCAGAGAATGAAGGGAAAGAGAAAAGAGAGGAGAATGAGGTGGAATGGGAGATGTGAGTAGAGTTAAAAGCCTGGCGCAGTGTTAAGCAGCTCTTTATTTGAGTGTCACAAAGGAGGCTTTCATAAACTCCGCAGAATGGAGCTCACACAAAACACTGGCACTGGGCTGACGTTTCAACAGCAGCAAATATACCCAGCCCCGGCAACTTTGCACAGGAAGTCAAAACAATGGATTACACTGTACTGTTTTGGAAATATGCTGGTTACACTTGCCTGAAGTTAAGGTATTAGGGGACAATGAATCACCATCTATTAATGCGCATTTTAAAATCGCAATGTGTAATTTTTCTGGTGGAGGGTTTGTAATCTGGTTGTCGCTATGGGGATGTTTTGCTTTGCCTGGAAGTCTGGAGTCACTGTAATCGCTCATTCGTCTGTCTGAGGTTGAATAGTTTAGGTTTAGGTAGTTATCCAAACTATGAAATCATGCCTTGGCTTGGAATTTTTCACAGTGTGGCATTAAAATCCACGTATCATTCCTTCATTTGTTTTTCAAACTAAAAACAAAAATAAGAAAATGAAAAAGCAACTATTTTCTTCATTGTTTGTCTCCAAAATCAAAATGAAAAAACGGATTATTCTTTTTTTTTTTTTCAGTTTTCGATTTTGTGTTTAAATGAATAATGGAAAAAACAGATAACGGCCGTTTCCCGTTTCCGTGACTTAAACTGTGATGCAGGACTTTTGCGCCGCATATGGACTGAACCAGAACTAAAATAGGACTAAACCAGGACTAAACCGGTCTGGTCCTGATTTGAGTATTGATTTGAGTCCTGGTCTCAGTACCAGTCTCAGTCCTGGTCTGGTCCTGGTTCCGGTCTCAGACCTGGTCTGGTCATAGTCTCGGTCCCGGTCTGGTCCTGGTCTGGTCCTGATCTGGTCCCGGTCTCAGTCCTGATCACCCAAAAGTCTATACGAGCGCACCTTTGGGCCCATCCCAACATTCAGTCCTACTTCAGTCCTGGTTTAGTCCTGGTTAAGTCCTGGTTTAGACCTGGTTTAGTCCTGTTTTTGTCCTATTTTAGTCCTGTTTCAATCCTGGTTCAGTCCTGGTTCAGTCCTGTTTTAGTCGGAATGCTCCGCAAGAGTCTGGTATCGCAGTTTATGTCACAGAAAATCAATTTTTTCCATTATTCATTTAAACACAAAACTGAAAAAAATGAATCGCTATCCATTTTTTCATTTTGGTTTTGGGGACAAATAATAAAGAAAATATTAGTTTTTTTGTTTTCTTACTTTTGGTTTTATTTTGAAAAATTACTGAACAAATGATCCATGGATTCATTAAACGGACAACTCTTGGATTTATTGAATTCCAGGTGTTTTATTGCTCAAAAAAATACCTTGAGCAAGCATTCTTATAGTAGGGTCGCCTCTCCACAGGTCTAACTTGTAACTTGGCCTTGGCATTACCTGCATGTATCCTTGGAGATCCTTAGTTTAACGAACATTCCTGGCAAAACCATTACGTCTCCGCAGATATAAGCAAAAGGTGTACTCTACAATTGAATAGTTTTATTAATATATTCATGTTATGAGTTCAAATCCTATTGACGTTGTTCATGTTTTGCAGGTGATAAAGGCCATAGAGGAGGGCTACCGGCTGCCCGCGCCCATGGACTGCCCCCCCGGCCTGCACCAGCTCATGTTGGACTGCTGGCAGAAGGACCGGGCAGAGAGGCCGAAGTTTGACCAGATCGTGGGAGTTCTGGACAAGATGATCCGGAACCCGAACACACTCAAAACCCCAGTGGGCACGTGCACAAGGTGAGACGAGGCCGCTTCACTCGCTGTCATGTTATAACTACACACGTTTCCTGAAAACAGTGAATATGGATTGTCTTTAAAAGTTACCAATACAGTATTTCTGAAAGTTCTTTTGGATCAAGCCCAGAACCCATGAATTATAGATGGTGGTTGGTTGGATTCACATTGCAGACCACATTTTTTAAATATACATATATAGTGCCGGTCAAAAGTTTTAGAACACCACAATTTTTTCAGTTTTTTGCTCTTTACTGTTGACCAAAATATATTCTAACCTTTAGATTCATGAAAGTGTCCACCTTTGGCAGATATAACAGCTGAACACACTTGTGGCTCATTCTTTTTAATAGAAATCAAATATTCTTCAGGCAGTTCTTCCCAAGTCTGTTGCAGAAGTTTCCATAAATGTGTGGCACTTGTAGGTTGCTTGACTTTCACTCTCCTGTCCAATTCATCCCAAACCAGCTCGATGGGGTTTAAGTTTGGAGACTGTGCTGGTCACTCCATGTTTTCAAGCTTTACCATCTTGTTCTTTTTTTCTGAGGTAGTTTTGGCAGAGCTTGGACTTGTGTTTTGTATCTTTTATCTGTTTTTTTTAACCGCTGACTGTTCAGTTCTTACCATTTCAAGCTCTTCATTGAACTTGCACGACTTGAATTTCAATAAATAACTGGAAAAATGTGAGTGTTCTAAAACTTTTGACCTGTAATTATTTCATTTTGATGCAAGTCTGCAAACTCAAAATTGTTATCTTATGCTCTTTTTATTGACTACAACGAAGCATTTTAATGGTGCACTACATAACTGTTTGTTTGGGGGTCCATCACCTGCTTGTTTCCATGGATACTGTTATATTAAACAGCTCTACCTCACATTTATTCAATTACAAGTGGTTTTACAGCTGTCGCCTCGCCACACATCTGACCTGTAACTGGGTTTGGTTTGGTCTCCATGAAAGGTTTAAAACATTCCAGACAAAGCCATAACATCTCTGTGGACAAAAGCATTTGACGCACCCTTCACCTGAAAAGTTACACAAGGCACCTTTAATTAATAATACCACAGCTTTTTGTCACTAGAGTGGAAGATGAAATTAATTACATTTTTGCTGACAGATAAGTTCGCTCTGTGCCGGCTTTTGTGGCTAGACTGTGTCATTACAGAGATATTAACTGTAAACCATGAAAATACATTAGCATTTTGACACATAAACAGCCCAGGCATTCAAAACGCCTACCTGAACATTGTTTTGGCTGTCCTTCATCGTCTTTCATTAAAATGATAAGGCTGTTTAATATAAAAACATCAGGTGAAGACAACCTGTTCCTGACGAGAGTGGCTTTAAATGGCTCACACGATGCTATTTTCTGGTCTGTTATAATGTTGTTTCTTCATCAGAAAACACACCTGGAGTTGGGTTTAGTTTCATTCACACATGTTTGAATAGGCAAGGCAAGTTTATTTGTATAGCAGAAACTGTACACAAAGTAATTCAAAGTGCTTTACAGAATAACACATACATTAAAATCACAATAAAAACAAATCTAAACATAAATAATCATCATGAAATTAATAAGAGAGAGACATGAATTACATAAATGAGAGAGAAGAGTGCAGACTGAAAACCTGTCAGTCATGTACAGCTAAACAGGACTGTTTTGAGCCTGGATTTAAACAGCGTCTAAGTAGAGGGTTGTCTCACATCTTCAGGAAGACTGTTCCAAGTTTTAGCTGCAGGAATCTGAAACATTGACTCCCCGTGTTTAGTTCTGACTCTATGCACCAGCAGCAGGCCGGTCCCTGAGGTCTTCAGAGTGTGAGGTGGTTCATACGGCACTAACATGTCAGAGATGTACCTTGGAGAGACTTGTACACAAGCAGAGCTGCTTTAAATCTATTCTCTGAGCCACAGGAGCCAATGCAGAGACCTGAGCACAGGACTTATGTGCTTGTACTTCTTGGTTCGAGTCAGGACCTGAGCTGCAGCATTCTGGATGTGCTGCAGCTGACTCACAGTGAGCAGGCCATTATAGCAATCTAACCTTCTGGAGACAAACACAAGGATATGTCTCTCTAAGTCTATTTTAGACAGTATACCTTTGATTTTTGCGATGTTTTTAGATGGTAAAAGGCTGCAGATGTTATTGATTTGATGTGGCTGTTAAAGTTCAAGTCTGAGTCCATTATTACCCCTAGATTTATTGCCTGATTTGAAGGTAAGTAATGGAAGTAATGAGTAATGCTGTAACAACTCCAGGTCTGTTTGTGATGAAGAAAACAACATTATAACAGCATTCTGACATGGCTTCAAACTCCCGAGAGTCAATTTTCCGTACTGTAGGAGCTTTAAGTTCACTACACTCACAGTGCTTGGCTGTAATGGACATTAGAAGTATAAGTATATCATCTGTGTACATCTGCTATATCATATATCATAAGCCTTTTTCATTTTCCCCTAGTCCTGTAGCTACAACCCTTTCTGTGTGCGTCTCTATCTTAACACCTGCGCTGACACTATGGGGAGTTTGAACACATTAGCAGCAGATCCCAAGTCCGGACCATGATTTAGACGCCGTCATTCACAGATGAACCATAAATCCTCGCAGATCGACCCCACAGACCTGCCTTTGTGGCTTTATGGTCAATAGCAGCCTTTTAAATCAATCTCTGTAATGAGTTCCTGGTACTTTGAAGTGAAGGGGGGTACAGCGCTCCCCGGTGCCGACGTTTGTCAAATGAATTCTATTTGCGTTCTCGCCGTAGTTTCAGAGAGAGAGGAGACTGATGCTAGGAGGCAGGCGTTTGGTTAAAGAGCAGTTTAATACTTGCAAAGTTTTCAGAAATCCATACAGGGAGAAGAGTTATCGAGTGGTTGATTTCTCACAAGGCCTCATCCTTCATCTGTGGCTCAACTTTGTATCGATTCATCACAAAGAGTTTTTTTTGTGTTTTTTTTTTTTTTTTTACATTTTCGAATTGTGGCTGGCTGGGTGTCTTTGGTTGGGCTATTGTTAAGTTTGTGCCGTAGTTCTGTCTGAGATCTGGGGCGTTTCTGGGACAAGAAAGTAAGTGTGTTTGAAGATGAGATTTTTGCAGATCATCACAATGTTTATTTATCTGAGTTCAATTTAACTCTAGATAAATACAAATTGGTAATGAATTCTTTGAGTAGCACCCAATTTACAAAAAAAAATAAAAAAAATTATATCCAAAATACTAATAGATATTGGCATGCATCCAGGTAGGATCCATAACAAAAGAAAAATGTAATTCTGTTAACTGAGTGAAGACATTTGGCTGCTCATCCTAACATACAGGACTTGTAGTGGCCATAGCAGCTTGTCAAACCCTGATCCCGTCTGATCTCAGAAGCTGAGTGAGGTCGAGCCTCGTTAGTACTTGGATGGGAGACTGCTGGGAAAATCAGGTGCCACAGTGGGGTGACAGTCGTAAAAACTTGTTGTGGTGTTCTTAGGCAACATACTTTACCCACATTGCCTAGCGTGTAAGTGTTGTGTGCGTGAGTGTGTGACAGTCTGCTCCAGGACAGCTCTGGCTACAATAGTAACTTACTGAGTATAAAAGACATTTAGTTTGTTATATTATTGTTTTTTGTTCGTTGTTATGCTCTTTCTCACCACAAGAGGGGGGCGCTTGCACACCGGAGGGGTCACGAACTTTTGAGTTAGTATAGCGGTGTGACGCTCGGCGTATCGGCTTTGTCTCTGACCCCTTAATGTCTGGGTGATAGTGTGCGTCCTTTAGACGTAAGTATCATTGTGTGTATGAGTGGTATTGTGTTCAAGGTTTGTAGCTGTGGTTTGTCTGTGTTTTGGTGCAGTTTAGAGGTCTTTGTGCGTAACTTTGTTTTGCTAGCTAGCCTCGCGTCTGTAGTTGCGCATTGTTGAGTGTGTAGGTTATTTCACAAACCACCATTTTGATTTGTTATTGATATATTGTTGTATTTGTTTGTTCTTCTCTTTTAGAGAACCACACACACACAAACGTCTTAAAGTGCTCAGACATTAAAGAACTGTTCAACATTACCTGGCTGTGGACCCCTCATTGCAACTCACCTGAAAGTCTATAATTGCTGCCCTGACCCGACACCCTGTGGTGATTGCTAGCCAGAAGTTTTCTTATATTACAATCCCCATTACACTGAAGCTGGTCTTGTTTAAAGTGGACTGTTAAACTCAAATGAAGCTTATCTTGTTTTGTTCTATGCAGTCTGATGCTTTGTGCTTCATATATTATACCTGCTGCCTCTTGTGTGTGCCTGTGTGTGTCCTCTGCTTGTTAGAACTAAACATGTTGTGTACTCGTCCACAGACCTATTAGCCCGCTGTTGGATCAGAACACCCCAGACTTCACGGCGTTCCGCACGGTGGGAGAGTGGCTGGAAGCCATCAAGATGGAGAGATACCGAGACAACTTCACAGCGGCAGGCTACAGCTCCCTGGAGTCTGTGGCTAGGATGTCAATCGAGTGAGTACTTACCAGCTAAAGACGCATTACTCATGTATACAGAGAGAAGTGTGGTAGATTTACCCATATATACTCAAAGTTTTATTTGATTTGATCTGATCTGTTATAATGTTGTTTCCTCATCGCAAACAGACCTGGAGTTGTGTTTTGTTTCATTCACACATGTTTAACACACAAACCCTGCATATTTAGGTTGAGTTCTTCTCAAATTGAAAAGACTTTGTTCCACCTTGTGATGTCATGTGTTAACACAAGAAGTGCTCCACTGTGTTTTTAAACTCCAGACACTTTCACTGGAATCATTTGGATGATTTCAGCTCTGGAATTGCCAATCTCTACTGAACTAAAGGTAAAAGGTAAAACTTGAAAACTACTACTACATGACATCACAAGGAGGAACAGTGTGAACGAAAGAAAACACAACTCCAGGTATGTTTTTGAGGAGTTAATACCATGTAAAAAAAAAAAAAAAAAAAGGTGTAAGCTGTAAAAGTCTTTCTGATTGGCTTAGGAAAGACAATAACGCCTACAGATGCAGCAGGCTCTGGAGAGCAGAATGAGACAGAAAACTCAATTTGGCCAAAAAATGACTTAGGAAAAAATGCACTTATGCTCCGAGACAAACAATATTAGATTTTGAATACTTGTGTTTCAAAAACCACAAAGGTTTCCAACTATAATTTCAGCTACAGACAAATAAATAGCCTGTCTCCCTGTGATATTATTATGTATAAATAAATCTTATCTAGAATCTATATTAGTCTTACTGCAATCACAATGAATTGCAGTATAATATAACATTACATTTGAATCGTTGAATCTTTTATTTATTTCTCCATTACGTTTTTAATATCCATGGGTTTCAGAATGATGAAAATTTAGGACCATTGCCATAGCGATTAACATTTACCAAATCTATCTTTTGAATGGGGGAAAAAGTCATCAAAATGTCACATATAACAAGAAGTTGAAACCCGTAAATAGTGGATTTATTATCAGTTGGTCCATTTCCTATTTCACCAGTCTGTTAGTTTGGGACCCCTGTAAATCTCGCAGAAAGGGACGCCAGTATGTTAGAAGGAACCTGCTGTTGTGCCCTTGAAATCGCCCACGTAAAATCACTTAAAACGTCACCACCGTGATCCATGTCCCCCCACAAGAACATCCAAGAACGCGTCCAGAATCAATCTTCTTAAAAGTCCACATTTCTAACGCTTACAAACAAGTAGCCTTTCACTAACTTTATACTCCCAGTAATGAAACACAATAAATCTCAAACCGAGTCAAGATAAATGTTTTTTGTTTTATTTTTTTGTTTCCAGGGACGTCATGAGTTTGGGAATCTCACTGGTCGGTCATCAGAAGAAGATCATGAGCAGCATACAGACTACTCGCGCCCAAATGTTGCACCTGCACGGTACCGGAGTCCAAGTCTGACGTTACCATGGCGACTGGGCCGAACTCTAGTATCGTACGCACTTCCGGAGCGTTGCCAGGGGGGACCTCTTCCTGGCCGCGGACTTTTTTTACCGGAATTTTGTTCAGGTGCGGAGCCAACCACCCCTCCGAAAAGGATCGCCGAAGTCCGATTCTACCGAGGGCGCTGGCAACTTTGGACAAGTGCAAAACCTCCAACAGCAAAGAAACTACCTGGATGACTATTTCATTTTTCTTGTTTTGTTTTTTACCGAAGCGCTTACGAACTATTTCACATATCAACGCCGCTTTCGGATTTTGATTTGATCTTTTCGAGAACATTACAATGGATTTACTGAACTTGACACAGGGTAAACTATCTTGTCCAAAATGGAGGATCAGTGTCACGTGATTGCGACGAGAATTTTGGGAGGAGGAGGAATTTCCGAAGATTGCACCTGTCCGAACCTTTGAATCACCACTTTTTTGTATTTTGAGTAGCAATATCTATTAGTGTTCACTACAGGAATGTTCTGATTGTAACGGCACCGCAAACTGGCTTGTCTTTTCTTACCTGAAACGTTTTCGAGGGGAAGTCTTGATACTGCCTTAAATGTATTCGAAGTATTGACACTGTCTTAGCTTGGGGAACGGCGATCGAGGAATACTAGCAAGGTCCGTGTTTTGTTTTGTTTTTTTCAAGCGGAATCAGTCAAGCTTAAGGCACGGACACAGAGTAACGGTTGGTAGATCGACTAAACAGAGCAATAATTACAAGTTGAATACGATTCTCTATCACGGTGCTAGGGTTTGCGGCGGGGCTGACACTTTGTAAAGCTAGTTAGGAGCCTGTGATCAAGCCTCAGTCGCCCCATTGAAACAGACTGTAAAGACGTGTTTTCACTGCAATGACATGCTCGGTATTTGATGAGAATCTGAGACGGCGTTTCAGAGCGGCGCAGATGTGAGGGGCTGGAGAGGGCTGTTAGCTACGGTGACGTCATTCGCCGAAACGCTAACTCACTCACACAATCAAAGAGCGGCTACAGAGCGAAAGGCAAGACTCACAAACGCGTAGACGTGCGGCAGAGTGGATTCGACGGCTGAGTATGTGCAGAGTGGAGCTTTTGGGTGCCATCTGCTTCTCCTTCTAAGCAGGCGAGATGTAGGTTTTGATCAGTGTTCTGAGATTGGAACATGGGTAAAGGAAAGAGACATACATTGAGAACAAAACTGGCTCAGCTGGTGTAACAAGACACTCTATTTCATGCTGGTCCAAAAACGAATAAAGAAACATAATTACACATTTTCAGTTTTTGTATTTAGACGTATCCTAAAGCACAGAACAGATTCACACCAGTACACTTTACATAACTCTGAATTTCAATTACTTACATAAATGTGTATTGCCTGCATTTAGAATTTCGGCCCTGTGAAAAACTAGTGGTTTGCAAGTGTTGATACAAACTCAGAAACTTAATTGTGATCCTAAGGAAAAGGCTTGATACTAAATACTATATTCAATATCAAAATGAGGATCAAAAACCAAACTTTTTGAAATGGCAAATTGTTCTTTTCTACACAAAATGACTGTACTGTCTTTTATGTTAAAGGCACAGTCCGGAATTTTGGACATAGGATGTAACCTCAGTTATTCATATTAATTCCTTACCTTCACCACTCCACAAAATACCCGAAGCAAAACAATTATAACGCCAGACATGCGATGTGAATGTCTGTGTCAATAGAATAATTTTAGAAGTAAAACCAACCTTGCATTTGAAGGATTTATGTCTGAGCAGCAGCAGTGAGTTGTACTTCCTGATAGAAAGCTGCAGTGGCGGACTGATATATGAGAAAGTAGTCCCTCACCATACGACGATTCACGTGATGCAAGGTTAGTTTTATTTCAAACATTATTCTGTCAACACAGACATTTACATTGACAATCTGGCGTAATAATAGATTTCCTTTGGGTGTTTTGTGGAGTGGGTAAGACTGTTTTTAGCGGCAGGCTAACTATGGCCATTGACATGCACTAGCCTAGCACCAGCGACCTCTGCAAATACAAGGGCTGGATGGGATATTTTAAAAAGTGTTTCCACACGTCTCCAACACTCTGGCTCACTAGGAAATGAGGTTCTATGTCCAAAATTCCGGACTGTCCCTTTAATATGTGGTCTTGTACTAGTTCTGACGCAGCTCACGACCATTCAAAAACAGCTCAAGAACGGTCCAGTTTTGTCCCGTTTAGTATCAGTCAATCAATATTAATTAATATTATAATATCAATATTTAGGCCTGTCACGATAAATTCTGATATATTGCTACAGAGGAATATCACGATAAACGATAATACTGAAGCGACTTTTTGCCACTGACAGAATAAAAACAAAGCAGGATAATCCCAGTAACTCATTAAAACAAAAACAATATTATTAAAAAACATGAGAAACAACAAATTAATGCCAGAATGAACAGATAATTAGTCCTGGGAGTTACCTTTTCATCCCTCTACAACTCAAATCTAATATTACATAAAAAATGTGCAGAAACCTCCCCACTATTCCAACATCTTTCATATATTGAACAATAAGAGGATGTGGTAATTATCGTGATGGGTCTATGAGTATCTAATCTAGTTTTCATTCTAGTTTTAGTTAATTTGATTCTAGGTATGTTTTTTTTTTTTCTTTGACAACCGAAGTATGCGCTCCAACCACATAAAGTCACATTCACTTTTCTTCTCGTGCGACATGAGCCCACCGTGTTGAAGCGCTCGCTGCTCGGTCTGTGTAGCGACGCAGATTGGGCTAGCACAGGTCCGTTTTCACAGTCGGCCTCCCCTTAGCGAACGCTGTGAGCAGTGAGCCCTCGGAGCCCCACACTGCCTCTTTATCCATCCAGCGCTCTCAGCAGTTGGGACGCAGCCAGAACCTTTGAATTGAACACTGACCTAAAGTCATTTGCTCAGCACAAAAACACACGCCCCCCCTCTCTTTCTCTCTCTTTCTGTCTCTCTTTCTCTTTTTCCCCCTCTCTTCCACCGGAGCGGGTCGCCCCCTGGAGGCCCCCCGCGGACCCCCCGAGTTGAAATACCTCTGCCCCTGTCCCGCTGTGCTGGAGAGGCAGCGGGTCCAGCCAAATTGAGATTAAGGCCCGGATACAATCGATATAGTGTCCCGATCCCACGCAACCTTCACCAGTGACAGGAATTCTGCGACTCCCAGCGTGTTTGGGCCCCGCAGTGCGCTGTCACGACAAGAAGATCACAGCCAAATGCAAAAAAAAAAAAGAAAAGAAAAGAAACTACACACACACTATGGAGGAAGTGGACTTTTGAATGAAATCAGGACCGTGTTGTTTAGACATACTGTATTTCCACTAAGAGGTACACTGTTGGGAAGAGTACTCACAAATACAACAAATACTTCTTGTTTATTAGGATCATGAAAAGTTACAGTAACCTTATGTTAGACTAGTGTACAGTGCAGTTAATACTTTTGAGTCTTTAATTATCACTTAACAACTACAACTACTGCAAATATTTCAGTAAAATATTACAGTATTTGCACTCACAGCCTAAAAAAAGACTACCGTATTTTCCGCACTATTAGGCACTCTGGATTATAAGGCGCACCATAATTGAATGGTCTATTTTAATTTTTTTTCACATATAAATCACACCGGACTATTAGAGGCATTAAACAAAACACAACAGTTAGATAAGTCAGTCAAATTTATTTAACGCATTCACAATAACTCTCAACTTTGTTCAATTGTAACACGTAAAAAAAAACTGTGTGAGATGCTAAATTGTTAGTGTTTTCACAATAACTCATAATTGTTCAAACCGTTGGGCGATTACGGCGTCCAGCACGCCCGCATCCCTCTTGTCATTATCCGAGTCCAGTGTGGTTACTGTTACCTGGCAGTTCAGTGATGATTCCGGACTTGGTGAAAGCTCGGACCACAGTTGATTCTGATCCTTAGCCCGGGCCACTGGCAGATCGTGGCGTAAGTCGCTCGGCGCTGTCTCCCTGTCTTGGTGAATGTGTGCTCGCCTTCTCTCATCCACTGCTCCCACGCAGCTCGCAGTTTAATTTTATAATAGCCTTGAGTTTAAAGTCGGCGTTGTGAGCGTGTCTCTTGACAGGTGGCATTTTGATATTAAAAGGAATCACAGTATGTATTACTCCGTGATGCTCCTGACTACAGTAGCCATAATGCTGCAAGTGGTGGCTCTGTAGTTTACCTTCCTATAATGCGGAAAATACGGTATATTCATTGATCATAGCAGATTCATTACATTATATTGCATTTCCATAATCAAGATATTGTATTCTGAAAACTTAGAATATTATGTGGATATTTGGTACATGTATTTAGTTACCTCCCAATACTAGAAGTACATTATATTTGTTATTGTCCACTATCAGTGTCAATACAAGTCAATGGATTCTTAATTCTGTAGATTACCGTAATTATGTGAAGTAATTCTAAGAAAAAACACAAAGAAAAAAATGATATCAATTCATGTTTGCTATTTATTCTACTTAAGATTCTCATGGACAGACCTCGATTTGTTTCAATAGAGGTCTGAAGTATAATCAGTACAGAAGACCTAATGAAACTAATCGCATTATCTTTGTTGTTATTCAAAACTAGAATAAGGTTTACCATGACCTAGTATTGTCAAATAAAAATATGTTGTGATATCAAAAACACATTTATCATGAGCATCCGAATAGGTGCATAATTCCCATTTGAGTACACTTGGCAAAAGGTTGTTTTATGGACTACGTAAGCAAAAAAAAAAATATAGCAATGTTGAAATATATTGCTTTGTAACCGTAGAATCCTGGTCTCCCTTAAAACATTACAAAATTCCACCACAAACCCCAGTGTACCTCTTGGTGGGAACGGCCCGTTTGTGGACAGAACAGAATGAGGTGTTGACGGCGTTCCCAAAGAGCTGCACCACTGATTGTCTGGAGTGAGGAAAAACTTTGTAGGCGTTCTAATTGTAAAACTTGTACATTTTATTTATATGGTTTTTTACACCTATTACTCAGTAGAGCTCTGAATACTTTGAAATGCACTATATTTTTCTATGTCCAGAGGAATTATCGTCACACAGACTTCAGTTGTACATACTTTTTTCATTTAGGACCAAAGACGGCTGGTTTTAGTAGGAGTTCCATGGTTTTCTTTGGCCCGTTTTGTTGACTGTACAGTGATGCAAAGTGTTGATTTTATTATTTATTTGACTGTGATGGAGGTGGGGCAGAGTCACTGGTCATGGTACAGTTTTCCTTCCCTGCGTTGAGTTAAGACTTGTTACATAGACAAATGTTTTGCTTTGTAACCTTTGTACTAGACTGTACATATATTTTTGGAAATATATTACGATCTCTACAGAAGCTCCGTGTCTGTCTCATTTGTATTTACACCTAAAGTTATGGTTTATATTCAGACTTTTAAACTACAAATATGTTCAAAGAGCGGGTATTTTACTTTTATGGTGTATTAACCGCTAACACATAAAGTATTTAGATCATTATGTTACTGTTTGTTGAATTATTTGAATGATGGATGAGGTAGGTTTGTGGTTTTGAGCATTGCACAGAATTTTACAGCTAACCAAAGTGGGTTTGAATAGGGCCCGGGAGAGATCTCAAAATTACTGAAACATGCATGGATGACATCTAAAACCTCTTCAGCCATGTTTTTGATGAGGCAACAATGCTTCAACATGGTAGAAAGCTAAAAAAGAAAAAAAAAAAAGAAAAAAAGTGATTTAAAACAACGCCTCTTAAAGTGAATCATTTATGAAAGTTCTATGTGCAATACAAGAGCAGAGGATGAATGTGTTGGTGTACTGAATCTGTGGAGTGAAGCAACAGCCACACACACACAAACACGTATTCTACATTTAGACGTCCTGTAAAAACAGCAATGGTGTAGGAACAAAACAAGGGAATGACAAAGAATGTGTGGTGGTTGATTGACAAAGATGAAGGTTTCCTTGGAGATGATTGGTCAAAGCTTCACAATAGCGCAACAAGCCGAAAAATCAAACTTTTGTTTCATCTAGTTGAGAGAAAAGCAGAAAACATTTTCCCTATCCACAAATGCACAAAGCTCTTTCCTTATGCACATTTATCACAAACAAAAAAGTCAACATTTCGCTATGTTTGTTTTGGTTTGTTTGGGCGCTTCACTTCAGTGCTGCTCCGTGATTGGTCCTGTATAAATCCAAATGGATAAATGGATTTGTTTAGTTCCGTACTGCGGAACATTCCAGACAAAGTTATAATATAATATGCCCATGGAGACAAACAGTCAGAGGTGGGGACTTGCAAGTCGTGACTTTGACTCGAGTCACACTTGAGTCACTATTTTTAGGAGTAGAGACTTGAC